GAAAGAAGCCAAAAATGATATTGTATATGACAAAATCACAGCGCGAGGCTAGCATCTGAATTCCGTAAACCTTATTTACTTTCTTGGCCATTTGGCTGAGACTGGAATGAAGGGACCAAAGACCTTCAAGTTGCCTCCAATATTTTTTAGGACAGGTTTCCGATTTTAGGGCGACTAGGTTTTTCATTTCTTGATTAAGAAAATCATATCCTCTAACAATTTGCCAAAAAGATGTGAAATAAAAATAAGTTATTGCGTTTAGGATGCTATAGGCAATAGTAATTACAACTGTTTGAAACACGCCCGAGTCTAAAATAAAAACTGTGGACAGAAATGCAAGGCACAAATAAGTGAGGGTAAACGATTTTATATACAAAAGCCTTAGCAGCTTTAAGTTTGTTTCTCTTCCAGCCTGTGCCATTTTCCGTTTTAATTCATTGGATAATTCCAATAAATCCAAAAACATGCGGAACCGAGAAAATCGTGTGATAATTATATACAATATAACTGCATATCTAACAGAGTAGTGAATGTATGGCATAACAAACATGAATTTCGGCAGCATCGGTCCTGAAGTCATTTCTTTGACTGATGCCCAAAAACAAGGTGGTACGATGGCACAAGTTAATATATTAAACATTATTGCATATGCCTGCATCATTTTGGTTTGCAAGAATTTTCCATTAACAATTGTGTAGGATGTCACGCCGATGAGAAAAGCGAATCCATGGCAGATCTCCACTAGTTTCTCCATGGTTGTGATACCACGAACCGAAGTCCATGAGCTACTAAATAAAACTATTCTCTGGTGTTTCCGTCCCTTATAGTGAGTCAGGAATAATTATCCTATCGGAAAACATCAAATGGGACCGTCCACATTGACAGATCCATTACGAATTATTTTCCATTAAAATCAATAGCCTTATTTAAAATTCGATTTCCGTTTTCAATAAAAATTATATTTTATCGAATTTTTATAAATGTAATAGGTTTTAAGTACACAGGAAAATCAATTAAAATTATTTTAACTTTTAATTAACACCTTTGGTGTATACAATTATGGATTATTGAATATGGATATATTTAAAAATATGCATTGAATAGTTAATACATTACAAAATTATTTCGAATATTCAATTGATAGATTTGTTTTTGTAAATATGTGAGTGACATTATTTACTAAGCATGAGATAAAATTGAAGCAGTAAGATTGAATTGGAAACTATAACTCGCTGCATCACAATCCATTGGATTTTGTTGGCCGGATACAATCCAACTACCTTTAAATCCAGTCTTGTGCTGCTCTCGTAGATAAGATAGGCACTCATCTGTAATATAACACATTAAATTAAGACGCTTTTGTACTATAAAGGCACTCAACCACCTCTTGGGTCATTTTTCCTTCGCTTGTTTCGTGTTTCGGGTAACACTGATACTGGGTGGTCATGTCACATATCAAATCATTCAGAAAGAAGTCGACATTTCGAGCCAAGTATACTGAAACCGCGTGCACGACTCTTAGATTCATTTTTTGCCGGAATAAAATTATTCCGACGTAGCCAAAAATTATAAGATATAAAGCAAAATCTATCCGCGAGGCTAGCATCTGAACGCCGTAAACCTTATTTACTTTCCTGGCCATTAGGCTAAGAGTCGAATGAAGCGACCAAAGATTCCGCACCTCTCTTCTATATTTTTTAGTATTGATTTCCGATTTAAGGACGACCAGGTCCATCATTTCTTGATTAACGAAATCATAACCTCTAACAATTTGCCAAAAAGATGTGAAATAAAAATATGTTGTTGCGTTAAGAATGCTATAGGCAATAGTAATTACAACGCCTGTAAAGACGTCCGAGTTGAAGGTGAAGATCATGAACAAGCCCAAAAGGCTCAAATAAATAAAGGAAAGCGATTTGATACACAAAAGCCATAGTAGCTTTACATTTGTTTTTCTTCCAGCCCGCGCCATTTTCCGATTTATTTCATTGGTTAATTCCAGCAAATCCAAACACAAGCGGAGTCGATAGAAACGTGATAGAATTATATACAATATAACCGAATAGTTAACCGAATAAAGAATAAATGGCGTAACGAACATGGATTTCGGAAACCAAGGTTCCAACATAAATTTTTTGGCTGAAGACCAAAAAAAAGGTGGTAAGATGACAATTGTTAATATATTGAACGTTAAGGCATACGCCGTCATCATTCTGGTTTTTAAGAATTTGCCGTTAACAACTGTGTAGGATGTCACGCCGATGAGAAAAGCGAATCCATGACAGATCTCCACTAGTTTCTCCATGGTCCGGCTGCCACGAACCGAAGTCCAAGAGTTAATAAATAAAACTACTCTTTGAGTGTTACCTTCATTATAGTGCATTGGGAAGTAATATCCTATCTGAAAATATCAAATGTGAATGCCCACTTTGACAGAACAATTACGTTTTATCGGTCATTAAAACGAAGAGTCTTATTTGACATTCTATTATCAATCAAAATTGTAATTTAATGAATTTCTAAAAATATAATAGATTGAAATTACGCATGATAAAATTATGATGTTTTTAAAACATCTAAAGTTTCATAAAGATACATTTTTATATGTTAAAGTTATTGAATATGGATATTTTAATGAATATTCTTTGAACCAAAAAAAATATTGCGAATATTATTAATTAAAAGTTTTTTTTTGTGAGTACCATTAGTTACTTAGCATGACATAAAATTGTAGCAGCAATATGGAGTTGGATACTACGATTTGCATCATTCCAAGCCATTGATTTTTATTGGCCGTATAGAGTCCAAATACTTTTAAATCGAGTCTCGTGCTGCTCTCGTAGATCAGAAAGGCATTCATCTGTAATTTAGACCATTATATTGGAACATGGTTGTTTATTTAAGGCACTCAACCACCTCTGGGAACATTTTTCCTTCGCTTATTTCGTGTTTTGGATAGCACTGATATCGGGTGGTGATGTCACATATTAAATCGTTCAGAAAGAAGTCGATATTTCGAAGACAGTATATAAAAATCGAATACATCTTAACAAAATTTATTCCTTGACGCACGTAAACTATAACAAGGTAGCCAAAAATTATATTTTGTATTATGAAAAAGACTCGTGAGGCTAACGTCTGAAATCCGTAGACCCTATTTATTCTGTGTGCCATTAGGCTGAGATCCGAATGAAGAGACCACAGACTTCGTATTTTCTTTAAATATTTTATATTGGCAGTTTCCATTTTAAAGGCGACTAGCTTCTCCATTTCTTGATTAAAAAGATCATAGCCCTTGGCGATTTGCCAAAATGATATGAAGTAAAATATTGTTGGGGCATCCGAAATGCTATAGCCTATAATAAATGTTATTTGATGGAACATTTTTGATTTGTCAAAAAAACAGGTTAACACAGATGTTATGAGAAGGTAACCCTCAATAAAACATTTTATATATAAAAGCTTTTGAAGCTTAAAGTTTGTTTTTTTTCCAGCACGAACCATTTTTCGATTTATCTCATTGGTTAATTTCAGAAAATCCAAAGACATGCTAGACCGATAGAAACGAGAAAGAACATTATAGACTATAACTGCATAGTGAGCCGAAAGAAGAATAAACGGCGTTATAAACATCGATTCCGGAAACCAGGACTCAGTGGTCAATTCTTGAGCTGCACTCCAGAAAACTGGTGGTACGATTATAATAGTTAATATATTGAACGTAAAGGCGTACGCTTTCATTATTCTTGTCTGCAGGAATCTACCATTGACCACTATGTATGACGTCATGCCCATGAGTAAAGCGTATCCATGGAAGATCTCCACCACTTTCTCCATTGTTCTGCGAAAGAGGACTGAATTCAAAGAGGTCCCAACTAAAACTAACTAACTAAATTGTACCACCTTTATGGTGAGTCGGAAACAATTATCCTATCTGGTTCATCAAAATGGAAATCCCACAGAGACAGACTGATTACGAACGATTGCTTATTAAAAACTTTACTCGTAAACATCGATGATAACCTTTATATGAATTATTTATTATAAGAAATTTTCTTATTTTTAAGATATTTTGTTTTGGTGCTTTTTAAATGTTGGTACAGATGTAAATTTTTGTACAATATGCATTTCGAGGTAATTTCAAACCTTTCATTGCAAGTCGCCACATGATTAAAAAGGGATGGGGATTACAATTTATTACTTTGTTTACTAAACATATGGATAACCCTTTTTGACCATTTAGCGCAATCACAGGTAATAAATTAAAAGAATTACGGCTTACCTGAGAGGTATTTATTTGTTGAGGAATGGCACCAACATGTCATTCGCAATATACAGTTCAAGACGTCAACGCACAGAAAATGGAGGGTCCTCTATCATTTCTTCAAATTGATCCTGCATGTCTGATTCTTCTTGTCCTGGGAATTTCGCTGTTAGATTTCCTGATCAATAATTGGAATAATTTAGCTTGCTCTCCAAGCTCTTCCAGAGTAGCAACGGGCCAGAAGAAAACGTGCCAAACTTCTAGCTAGCGTCAAACGCCGACTAGATCGTCAGTTTTAAGCATCACATTGTATTTAATATTTAAGTTTAGGAAAATGCAATTTTAATAAAAGTAGTAATTAAAGAAAAACAAAAGATCTTTTTTACTTTTTGGCGCACAATGTAAGTCTAACATATCGATAAATCGGAGGACTTTTGGTATTTTTTCCAGAAAAGCGTAGGGCTGCCAGATGCGAACAATTTCTGCTAGAGTGGCAGCCGCAAGAGCAGACATGAAGACATTTGGCTGTTTTTCGACAAGGTTAGCTATTTAAATAAAAACTATAAATAATTCCGGATTATTCGAGAATAGAGATATTTACAGTAAGAAAGTCTTACTTCGAATATTCGGTTTATATTGCTACACTCTCACAGTTTTATATTGTCATTATTTTAAAACAAAATAAAATAAAATGATAGCCAACACCAAATAAAGCTACATTTGGCTACCTCAACAGGTGCACACTTGACAGCTGAGACCAGTCAACACTGTAGGATTTGTTTATTTAGCCGGTTTCTTATGTTGAGGAATTTGATAAAGTCACGCTTTCTGTTGCCCCGCACAATGTCCTGCTTTTCACAAGTGATAAACCCTATAACTGGCGACAATTCCTGGCAGGAGCGCGGAGATGACTACGATTACCACCAGGAAGTGGCCAACGCGGGTTTCGGCGACATGTTGCACGATTGGGAGCGCAATCAGAAGTACTTTGCCGCCCTTAAAAAGACCATCGGAAAAATGCGAGCGTCGGGAAAGGAGGTTCATGTCCTAGACATCGGAACCGGCACGGGAATACTCTCCATGATGGCTCTTTCCGCTGGAGCAGATTCGGTCACCGCCTGCGAGGCCTTTTTGCCCATGGCCAATTGTGCGGAGAAGATTCTGGCCGCCAACGGAGCCGGCGATAAGGTGCGCCTCATTCGAAAGCGTTCCACGGACATTCAAGTGGGCGAGGACATGCCACGAAAAGCTAATCTCCTCGTGGCGGAGTTGCTGGACACAGAATTGATTGGCGAGGGAGCCATAGGGATTTATAACCATGCCCATCGCGAGCTGCTCACCGAGGATGCCCTTTGCATTCCCGCCCGCGCAAGGTGCTACGCCCAGGTGGCCCAATCCCCGTTGGCTGCACAGTGGAACAGTCTGAAAACACTGGCTAATTTGGACGGCGAACCTCTGCTGCAACCGCCTGAGCAGCTAAAAGGTTGCAAAGGGGAAGCTGCTCTGCACGATGTCCAATTGTCTCAATTGCCAAACTCGGCCTTCCGTCCGCTTACCGATCCCGTGGAGATATTTCAGTTCGATTTTCAGCGCAAGCAGGAAAGAGAGAAGCAGCGTGAACAGCGGCTGAAACTCCAATCTAAGCTACCGGGAGCCGCTGAGCTGGTATTCTACTGGTGGGACATTCATCTGGACGACGCTGGTGAAATTCTTCTTAGCTGTGCTCCTTACTGGGCACATCCTGAGCTTAAAGAACTGGCAGCTGAGAAGAAAGAGGATCACCCGCTGCCCAATGTAGTTCCTTGGCGGGATCACTGGATGCAGGCCATCTACTACATACCAAAGCCTCTGCAACTGCTCGAAGCAGGTAAATCCTTTCACCTAAGCTGCCATCACGATGAGTACTCGCTGTGGTTCGATGCCCATGAAGATGCGCCCACGAAAAGTGTGCGGCGACATACCTGCTCCTGTGACCTGCACATGACCTACTCGCGCAGCAGAATTGGCCAGATCAACCAGTCGCCTCGAAACAAACGCTACCTGCGCTACCTGGAGGATAACATCGAGGAGGGAAAGTCGAATGTGCTGGTCCTTGGAAACGGATGCCTGCTTGGCTTAGCAAGCTCTGCTTTGGGAGCTGCATCCATTCAACTTCATGAACCCCATCGTTTCTCGCGAAGGTTACTTGAATCCATTGTGCAGCACAACCAACTGAAGAACGTTCAGTTTGTGGACAAAGTGGAGGAGCTTGAGGATCCGCAACTGGCTGCTCTTACCCACATCTTCGCAGAACCTTACTTTTTAAATGCAATCCTGCCGTGGGATAACTTTTATTTTGGCACCTTGCTGATGAAAATAAAAGACAGGTTGCCGGAGAACGTGAAGATTTCGCCATGTTCGGCGAGGATTTATGCCTTGCCCGTGGAGTTTTTGGACTTGCACAAAATTCGAGCTCCCGTTGGCAATTGCGAGGGATTCGATCTGCGTTTGTTCGATGAAATGGTGGAAGTGAGTAATTGCTAATTACTATTTTATGGAACTAAATAATGTTTAACAACTTACAGAGATCTGCAGAGCAAGCAGTGTCCTTGGTGGAGGCCCAGCCCCTCTGGGAATACCCATGTCGCGCACTTTCAGAGCCCCAAGAAGTGCTTGATGTAAATTTTAGCGACTTTGGCAAAGAGCTTAACCTAAAAGGAAGCATAGAACTGAAGCAGTGAGTAAAATAAATGCAAATATTACTTTACAAAATACTTAATATATTTATTTCAGTCCTGGGACCTGTAATGGAGTGGCCTTATGGGTAGACTGGCAGTTGGTGGATGACAACAGTCCCAGATCGATTGTGAGCAGTGGTCCCAGTGAACCCGTCATTCTTGGTGAATTTGTGAAGTGGGATATGTTCGTCCGGCAGGGAGTGCATTTTCCCAGAAAGCGCGAGGAAGCTATTACTCATCTCGAATGGAGCACGGATTTTAAACCTCTGTTAGGCGAACTAAACTTCAGCTTTAGCCAGAAGAAGCTCTAATTTTATTATTTTTTCACGAAAATTTGGACAACGAGTAATGAACATCAGGGCAAATACATTGAATGAGTGATATTTTAAAAAGCAATCTAATCCTTTGGAATCTCGTTCTCCATGCGTGTAAGAGTAATATTCCTGTCAGTCTGCGACCCGCTGACCACCTTGGTGCCAAACTCTCCTCCTCGAAGACGCATGCGCAGATCCAGAGCCCGGATGTCCGTCATCAGCGAGTGCTGCTTGTTCTCCAGATCCACATCGATCCGCTTGCCGTGCTCCTCCAAGAGATTAAAGTTCGTCTTGCTCTCATCGATCTTCGCCTGCAATCGACGACGAATCTCGCGCAGCTTCTCCACCTCCAAGCAGAGCATATCGTGTGCCTGGTCCATGCACAATTCCATACCCGATCTCTGGGCTCGGTTTTCCAGACGCGTTTCGGCCAATTTCAAGGCGTCGGTCTTGTCCCGCAAAGCATTCTCTGAGGTGCGAATTTCGCACATCGCCTTCTCCATCTCATCCTTCATCTTGAGCTGCTGCCACTCCAGTTCGTTTCTGGCCCGCTGAGTCTCGAAAATACGCTTGCGAATGGTGTGCTCTGCCCGCTCCTGCTGGGATTGCAGCATGTTGCGCGCCTTCTCGCGGCACACGAACAAAGCCTCCCGGATGGCATACGTATCAGCCAACTCATTCTCCGCCAGCAACTTGACGTTCTTCACATTTTCCAACCAAGTTTCGTATGAGCAGGAGCTAAAAAATGATTAAATTTCTAAACAGGCTTATAATTAAAAAAACACCTTTTTACTGACTTCTTTGGATTCCTAGTGGGATCCGGCTTGTAAGAGATATTGGCCGAGTTACGATCGAGAGCCAACTGAGAGTTGTCCAGCTGCATCGCCTCTACCTTGAACTCAATCTCCAGACCGATCTTAAAGCGCACCTCCTCCAATCGGTTCAGTTTCTCCCAAGCCTTTTGGCATCGGTCGGCTAAAAGTCTTTGGTTGTTCTCCAACACCACCAGTTCGTTCTTGATCTCCGTATCCGCCTCGTCGTAGGTGATCTCTGAGCCCAGGCGACCGTCTCTCATGGTGAGGCACTCGGCGATCACTGAGATCGGACCGGTAAGCGCCTCCAGTTCCCGTTCAGTGGCGTTCTTCTCCTCCTGCAGCATATAAATTTCACGCTCAATCCTCTCAAAGGATTTTGAGATTATATCCCGCCAGCGATTTAACTCGGAGATGCTGGTTTTATAAGGCGATACATTTAATGGGGAGAGTAAATGAGTTAAAGTTAAATCATATAAATTCACTTTATTTAGACTCACCGATCGGTTAGTGCTTCGTTAGTCTCGTAGTTAGCCCAATCGCCCTCGATTCTCGTCTCGTTCCTCAAGGATCGGGACGCATGGCGAATGGCGAAGGCGTCTGATCTCCGTGCATCCGCCACATTGCGCATCTGGTTCACCCGGGCGTACCAATCCGTCAGCGAAATGTGCTGGAGCGGCTTCTCCATCGTTGCTACCGAGTGGAAGGCCATCTTGTAATGTTCAAAGTATTTAAAAAACAATTGGATTTATCCGTAAACAATTTTAATAATTATGTGCTCTCAACTGAAACTCTCAAATTGGACTGAAATATATTTTCTGAAACATTGATTTCAAATGGTTGTTTGATCAAAGAACACTAGATCTCCAAGGCGTTTGGGTCATTGCCAAGGACAACGGACTGTGATTTGTTTGTAGAGGTTGAAGGGATTGCAAGTTTAGCACATTGCATTTATGTATATATTAATTACTATAGAAACAGCGAAAAAAATTTTTAATATGGAAATAGCAGCAGAACAAACGAAAAAATTCATCGACCGAAAGGGCTTTTAAAACTTTTTGCAATAAGGAAACCAGTTAATAATACATAAAAAAATGTTTAAAAATTTTGGATTGCTTTTAATTACTTTTGAAAGGCTATTTGAAATTGAATCTTAGTTTTTATCCAAGTTCGAAACCACGTTTGGTTCCGGAGCTAAGCAATGCACCGGCGTTGCCACTTTCCGATAGCATCAAATAAACGTCTGGTATTTTGTTCCACCTCTAGTCACACACACGTGTTTTTCTTTTCGAGCGTTTTGGTTGCCGCGTGTTAACGGACCAACTCACTTTTCGTTAAAAGTTGTATTAAAAAGTACAAGTACAGCAGCTTAATATGGGCAAACCAGGTGCGCAAAATCATCATTTACTAGGACTAATCAAAGCGGACTCCAAAAAATCGATTTAAACCGCTAAACTTAACCTCATAGTGGGCGTTAATTCATATGTGATTTTTTCTTCCAGGATTCAGTCCACGCGGTGGTGGCGGCGGCGGCGGAGGAGGAGGTGGCTTCCGTGGACGTGGCGGCGGCGGCGGAGGAGGTGGTGGTGGTGGTGGCGGCTTTGGAGGCGGCCGTGGTCGCGGCGGCGGAGGAGGAGGTGGCGGTCGCGGTGGATTTGGAGGCGGCCGTGGAGGCGGTGGAGGAGGTCGTGGTGGCGGCGGTGGCCGTGGTGCCTTTGGCGGACGCGGCGGTGGCGGTGGACGCGGCGGCGGAGGACGCGGAGGTGGTCGGGGTGGCGGCGGACGCGGTGGTGGTGCCGGTGGCTTCAAGGGCGGCAAAACCGTTGTGATTGAGCCCCATCGTCACGAGGGAATATTCATTGCCCGCGGAAAGGAGGACGCTCTGGTTACCAGGAACTTTGTACCCGGATCGGAAGTCTACGGCGAGAAGCGCATCTCCGTTGAGGTAAGTCTTTCATATTGCTTTTTATTATTCCTATCCAAATTCCCCGCTGATGATGAGGTTGTGCAGGGGTACAGAACATGGCATCATGTGGCCATGAGCATCCTTGGCGGCCACCTGTGGCTGTGTGCACTTCAGGTGCACGTGAAGCAGTCGCGGGTGCTCCGAGGTTTGCTTAGAACAATGCACAACTGAGGCACTTCCTATCCCAAAACAAACCGAACCCAAACAATCCACCATTTTGAAAATGGATTTGCGGATAGTTTCAAAGCCTTATCTTGAAGTAACACATGTTTATTAACCAGTTGTGAATGAACACCAAATTGTTTTCCTTTTAGTTCTTCATTGATTTTTCCTAAAATTCTTTTAAAAAATGTATGAATAATTATTGGTACTGTTTCTCTTAAAGATTTTTATTTTGTAATCATATCCAGCGTTTTCATTTCTTTCCTGTAATTTTTTTGGATTTTACAATAACCACTTAATCACATTTAACATTTACTTACAGACCAATGGCGAGAAGATCGAGTACCGCGTGTGGAATCCCTTCCGTTCCAAGCTGGCTGCTGCCGTTCTGGGCGGAGTTGAGCAGATTCACATGCCCCCCGGGCTCCAAGGTCCTCTATTTGGGCGCCGCTTCCGGAACGACAGTTTCCCATGTGTCGGATGTGGTGGGACCCGAGGGTCTCGTCTACGCCGTGGAGTTCTCACACCGATCAGGTCGCGATCTGATCAATGTGGCCAAGAAGCGTACCAACATCATACCCATCATCGAGGACGCTCGCCATCCACACAAGTACCGCATGCTGGTCGGCATGGTGGACACCATTTTCGCAGACGTTGCCCAGCCAGATCAGGGTCGTATTGTTGCTCTGAATGCCCAGCACTTCCTGAAGAACGGCGGTCACTTTGTCATCTCGATCAAGGCCTCCTGCATTGACTCCACGGCGCAACCCGAAGCGGTATTCGCTGCCGAGGTGAAGAAGATGCAGGCCGACAAGCTGAAGCCGCAGGAGCAGCTCACGCTGGAGCCTTACGAGCGAGACCACGCCGTTGTCGTCGGCGTTTACCGACCACCACCCAAGCAATAAGCTATTGTTTTCTGCTTGGTTTAGTTATAAGGCTATTGTACTAATACAGACGTGTTGTATTAAGTTCTTTTTAAATATAAAACCATAGTTGTAAAGATAAATCAAAATGCAAACTATTTTTGTAGCAGACGTACAAAATATACACAGAAACCAAAAGCAAATATACAACTTGACGGAGGTCATATGTTGAATGTGGTTCCTTTAAGGAAATTAAATAGAGCTATTGTTATATAACAAGATTCATATAATAGCTTAAAAGGCAGATAAGGTGGTATAGGGTTTCTAATGAGTAACTAGTTTCAAGCTTTGGAAAGTCAATGCAAATAGAGCGGTTCCTAAAAACAAAGTCAGAATCGAGGGATTCATATAATTTTATAATAGCCTCTAACACTGAAGCAGGTTTAAAACTAAAAACGAGAGTTTGTAACAATTTAAATTTTGACAATTTCTTTTTATTTGTAAATTTAATTAATATTTTTAAGTTATAGTGCTAATAAATAATTTTTTAATTCACAGGAAAAGAAAAGATATGAACATTATGATATACGTATATAGAATGCAAACCTATCTTTGTACGATCCGAAAATTTAATAACAGAAACTTAGTTAACACAATAGTTAAAATAAAAATTTTCGCTGCGGACAGGATTCGAACCTGTGCGGGTAGAACCCAATGGATTTCAAGTCCATCTCCTTAACCACTCGGACACCGCAGCTGTGCGGCCACTATGTCAAAGTTCCAACTTGATATGAATCATGGATTGCCCTCCCCTTCCGTCTATAAGCCAACGAATTTACTCAGGGCTGGCGTAATATTAATATATTCACAAACCTAGAACTCTTCTGGATCGTGTATTGGCTAAATAAATTCTTCATCAAAATTTAACGTAGCTGACAGTTCGGAACTAATGGCTATTTGGTGTTAAAATGTGAAGATGAAAAGGTAGGTGTTAAAAAATATTTTAGTTTATATTTTTAACGCAAGAACATTATTTAAAATTTGTTTTACTTAACTGTTATTGGTTATACAATTTAACTAAACCGTATACGTACTTAACGCTCTTTGGAAAATCATAAGTGAAATAACTGTTTTCATAACACTAAATAAAAAAAAAAATTGTAGAATAAAAGTTTGATGCAATTTGTAAAGCAAAAAATTCTGCATAAAATTATGTAGCACGAATGATGACATAACAAATAGACCGAGTTCTGATAAGGCTGCGGTGTCCGAGTGGTTAAGGAGATGGACTTGAAATCCATTGGGTTCTACCCGCACAGGTTCAAGTCCTGTCCGCAGCGATATGTGGTTGTTTTTTTTGTTTCACTTGTACTTATTTTTTTCTTAAATCTTGGATCGCAATTAAGCCTCTTCAAATTATTCCACTTTAAAAGCAAACATTCTAGAAAGTAATTTGTAGGTTACAACAGTCATTGAGTTTTTAGTCTGCTCCAAAAACCTAAATTTAAAAGTTTTTTTTTTACATTTTTGTATAATTTAAATTACTTTATTCAGCCGTTTGCAGCGTTCTCAAAATATAACAATATAGAGGCATAGAGCATTTTTCTCTCAGTTGATACAATACGACATTAAGCTTAGTCTAAGAATTTCCCCTGCAGGCGCTTGAAGATTCTGCCTCGGCAAAGACACACAGATCATAATCATTCAAAGAGGACATTGGTTTTACTTTTCTCGTTAAAATTTAGGTCTTAGCAGCTAGGATAAAATCATAATCGGGTTGATTCTTGAATAAATGTATATCACCGAATTCGTCACCGGCTCCGCTGGCGCCTACAACTTGGCGCGCTTTGGCACGCCGATGGCCTCCAAGACGCCGCAGGTCTCCAGATGATGGAACAGCGTCTGCAAATACTCTTCGCGATGCTTTATTAAGTGGGCAGCGTGTTGGGATTTTTCCCAGCACTTGAACGTAACCTTAATATCCGCACGCTCCCAATCCTCGCGTACGGCGTGATTGGAGGATGGTGGACCGATGGGATCGTTTTCGGAAACGAAGAACAACGCCGGGGCCTTGAGCAGTGTGGAGTGGAACATCTGGCTGGAGCGCATGTAGTGGATGGTGGCCTGGTTGTGGAATGTCTTCATGTGATACAGCGTATAGTTGCGCAGGGCGGTCTGCATGCGCTCATTCCGGGGAAAAATCGATTTGGGCACACCCACTGGGATTTCGGTGATGTCGGCGGCACTGTCCCACACCTGGCACACAAAACGATCCAAGATGCTGCCATAGCGGTCCATATCGCGCGACATCTGCAGCATGATCTCGCCCAATTGGTAAGCGCCCACGGAGAAACCGTGCATTACAATCGGCTCATACGACTTGTTGTTCTCCAGAAAGCGTAGAGTCTCGGCGGCCACCACCTGGTTATAAATAGAAGGAAGCATTAGTCACAGAACTACTCAACTTGTCTAAGCATTACTTTGATTCATTGGTATTGCAATTTATCAATATAATATTTAGGAGTTCATTTCATACCTGTGTTCCCTTGACCGGCCAGAGCAATTGCCAGGGCGTAATGTGCACCACCACCACATCAAATCCCATTTCCGTGTAAATTTGGGCGTACTTCTTCAAGTGCTTCTGCTTGGCCATCAGCCAGGCCATCATGAGGACCAATGGGTTGCCAGTTGGCTTCTTGAAGGCCAGCGTCTTGGGATCCACCTCGACATGAGTCTTGTTATTGGTGTACAGAGTCATGTTCTTGGTAATATCCTGCGAGGATAAGTTCCGACGATTCTTCGATGGGGACATGGCGCTCTGAGTAAGAGAAACAATTTATTATTAATATTCTTTAGCCACAGATGTTACGACATGATTAGTGAGGTTAGAGGAAATGCAACTCTAAAACAAAATAAATTGAAGAGCATTGTAAACTGATAAACTGATTAGCTTTGCAAATAATGCATACATATTTCTTTCTCTCCACACTGTTTTTTAAATGCTCTTTTAAAATATATGACCAACCGTCTAGACTAGAAATATTTCATAAACTAATCGCACTTAAAACCAAAGTTTGGATAGGTCCAGTCGCTACCTGAATCGCTCTCTCTGATAAGATATAAAAGCTTGAGTGGTTAATATGGCCTGATCGCTTAGAGGCTATAGATTAGCGCAGGCACCGAAATCTATGCAAATTATGGGCAAAATTTGATATGGCTCTGATTTATCCTCGGTAACAGCTGGTGACCTTGAAAAAGTCGCCGAACACGTGATAATAAACAGCTGTTCCTGATAAGATTATACCAGGTGTGCGTGCGTTTGGTCTTTTCATACGATGTGAGATATTGAATTACTGTGATCACTGTACTAACACTCAAACACTGTATATCACACCTTAATAAAAGACAGATCTAGGTGCAATGCGTTCCAAATGATCTGTTCAATAAAACTTTAGTGCAGCCGTTTTGCTTCCGTGCAATACTTTTTAGTACTGAATTATCAGAAATTGCTAAAGGCAAGCGACAAATTAGCACGAAGGCGAAAATCTAAATGACGGCGGTGCAAAGGTTTTAGGTTCTTTTCCTATATTTTAGCGAGGCCAAACTGACTGATAGCATTCTGGATTCGAAGATAGCTCCGTTAAATCTATCGATAAGCAGTTGCAATTTAGATTAGTGAGGGACAAGCGAAATCCATTTGTGACCTAATAGTTCCCACATAAATTCGTTAGGTGAAAAACGAAAAGATACAATAATTGAGTCACTGGAATGACACAATGAAAGCGAGGCTGGAAAGAACTTTCACTTTAGTTTGACATTTTGAACTTGAACCATAGAGTTCACGGCCACTCACACGTTTCGCCCGATGATAGATTTTCAGCAGTATAATTGCCAATATGACCAGCAGCGTTATCTCAATTAGGAAGTCCATATTGGAGATAAAACTAAGCAGGTGCAACGACTTTGACTAACTGACTGATCGACAACATATAGCATATACCCAGTGATCCAGTGGAACGATCGTGGATAGTTGAGCGGAATTGAGGCGAGCTTACATTCCCCATGGAAATAGTTACTTTAGCAGATGTGTGTGTATATAGAGGAATATGTTTTTTTCTACTCTTTGCGGCATTGGTTTAAATTACATTGCGCCACTGGAAGACTCAGACCCCTTTCAACAAAGTGAACAGATGGTATCGACTGGGAGATACCACTTAAAAAGTGTACTGTGTAAAAGTGCATTGACCCTAGAGGACCTGGTGTTTTGATAGCTAACTATAATTATTAAAGTTGCTGTCTATTTACTCATATTTAACAGATAATAACTGGGTTTCTGGATAATTATAAAACCCAACAACCCAAAACACCCTTATCCACAGTAAGTTCTAGGTACGATCAACTTGCTACCTAAAAATAAACAGAGAACACGAATGTTTGGCGGCGCGGGCGAAAGCTTGGCATTGGGCGCCATTATGATTTGAATCATGGAAAAAGCTAAGCTATAGCTCAATTGAGCTTGCCCGACGCGAGGGTGGTTCCAAACATTTGAACTTTATAAGGGTTGCAGCTCAGTGATATTCGATATTGGTGATATCACCTGCTGAAATACTCAATAATTTTCTGGTTAGTTCAAGCGGTTAATGAGCGTTTACTAATTGCATGTCAGCAAAAAACAACAATTAAAAAAACAAAGGTAAAAATGTTTGAGGGTATTTATATAAAGTAAACAGCGCTTATCTGTAAAAATCACCAATGAAGAGGGGGAGAGGTTAGGAGAGATAGAGTGCCAAAGATTTGCCGGGTACAAAGTGCATTAAATATAATTTACTCAAGCATGCAAAATTCCAAAGACACAAACTACAAAGTGCAAAAATTCAGAAGCGAAATAAAGTAATTAAAGGTTCAATCACAGATCAACAGAAATTAAAAAATACATAGCCTTACAATTCAAAGTTTTTTATCGACGATAATTTCTGGATCGGGTGTATGACTTGTGGATACTAATCAAACAAACTGATATTTTTGAATAAAATGCTTATTTCATAAGACAAGATATGGTGAACATTATAAAAATAAGATTGAATATCTTGTAACGATTAAAGTCATTATCAAGGAAAATTATTAGACGTTGAACCTCTTGGCTTTAGTAAATTGGTTGGACAATGACAATCAATTTAGTTACCTTCTGTTCATTCTATTATTAGTAGCCCTCTAATTGTCAATATGAAATCTTGAGTTATTCTTATCTTATTGATAAGTATTCATTTTGTAGATCTATTGAGAAATCTATTAGTTTAAGACATATTATATATAGCCCTGCTCTTTAGCACAAGAATCTTTACTGCAGTTTAATACCGCATATTAAGGGAAGACTTTTTTAACGATCCACAGGTAATGTTTTTGAACTTTTAACTTTACTCGCCTAACCCAAGTTGAACCTGTTGCTTTAATTTGAGCTATATAAGCCTGCAGAGTCAAGAATAATGAAACTGTTTCTGTATATCTCACATACTCGGACTTAATTTAATAAGAGATGTTTCTGAATTAATGGAAGTCTGGCAGATAATAAACAATTTATAAGGCAGATATATAAAGATAAGCTTTTAAAGGGTAATAAAGATATCATCTAATAGTATTAAAGAGGTCAGTACTAAACAAAAATAAGTTGCCACCGGTTTTAAGGAAGAGACAGTCAACCCTAAATAATTTTTTTCTGTTGATCGGTTACTGATTCTATCCCCCGAAAATGCAAAAGAATTAAGTGTTTTGGGGATTTTGCTTACATCTGGGACCAGCGGCTGCTGTTGATGATGATGGCCAGTTTGGAGGCTCGAGAAGTTCCGGAACAGCGGAGTCTGGATGGGTTGGATCTGGGGAACCTTGAGTAATCCCTGCGTTTGGCAGCCCCCGAAAAAGCTGTCCGCGTAGACATTTTCATATGGCACGGCTCCCCGGCTATTTTGTGCTAATTAATGGCAGGGAATGCGGCAAACCAGAAATTATTATAAATAAACGGGAGCCGAAAGGCGCGACAGAATCTTGATCTTTACCACCAAAGGAAAGGCCCACGGCTAATGTTGCGGCTGTTCGTCCGGCGAATGGAAGGCTCATCGATTTTCTCGCCGCCGTTGCGTAAAATGCAGTGCGAAAAAAGTGCGCAGCCATTGCGGAAATTGCAGGTTTTGCAGAACGGGAAAATACTTTCACAAAAGCGCTTTGGACTCAGACTGAAAAATGATTTGCAATGGTTTTCGTTTTTCTCATTTGCGAACTGCACACACCCACACACGCATGCACCCACACAGACGCAGGCCAATGCACACGGATTGAACTTTGTACCCACTGCAGACGCAGACGAGTCTCAATTTTTTATTATTAAATTGATAAATTGAGAATTCTGGTTCTAATTTGGCTTTCTTGACTGTGCGTGTGTGCTGGGCTTTTGTGTGACTGTTGGCTGTGTGTGTCTGTGCATATTGATGAGTTTCCAATTGGTAAGCAACTAAATCGATCGCCGTAACACTTACGCTAACGTCGCACTCCGTGTTTATTTCGATTTGTTTGCTAAGTTTCAATTCCTCCCCCGACTACAAACCGCTTAATAGTGCTACCGTTTGCTTTAGGTGTCTATACACCATAAATATATTTTTGGGATTTTGCTACTTTAAGATATGTTTCAGTATTTTTGTGCACAGAAAAAAATGAGAATGTTGCAAAATATATAAGAAATCATTTTTAATAAGTCCACGAAGTAAATGTATGTTTTTCTATAAATACAATATTTAATAAAAACTAACCATAATATGTTTCTGTACAAAATATTTGGAACAAATAAGTTGGAACTATTAATGAATATCATTGTTTAAAGTGCAATATTTTTTGATAACTGTTTACTTTCTGGTAAAACCTGCGGTCACACTAATTATTGGAGCAGGGCAGGAAAACGTAAACACGGTCAAATGGAGCACGAGGTGGCCGTTTCTGGAGAGGATTCATTGCCAGAACAGATCAAATGCATTCCGCCACTTAAACCCTCGGCCAACACCGCCATAAAGTGTCTGAAATGCGACAAAGTGTACATATTTCCCGTTGATAAAGATGACTGTTTGGCGCACTTGTATCTGGAGCACCGACTGGTTATAGCCGATGTGGAGGATATCGCGCTTCTTGAAGACTACCTGCAATACTGGGAAAAGGAGTTTCAGGGTATGAAAATGACCTTCCCATTTTTGTTATTATTAATTTATTCTAATCCACCTGCAGCACACGAATTTGAGCAATATTGCACCACTATGTTTCTTGACCAACTCCCTGATGGCAAATATGCCAAGAACGAAAAATACTATCTCTTATGTGATATCCTGCCTCAGGACTACGAACTGCGACAAAGGTTAAAGGAGAAGCGGCTTAATGAAGCTCTCGAGCGTCACCAGTTCGAGCTTACAGACAGAAATTTCTCCAAGGAATGCCTTTTCTGCAGAACCATCATCAAGGGGTTGAGGGCAGACTACTTGGACCACCTGTTCGATAAGCATTTTCTGCTGGTGGGCAAGCCCGAGAAGCTGGTGTACGTGGACGAGCTGCTGGATCATCTCGAAGAAAATCTAAACCGCCTGTTGTGTCTTTACTGCGAGAAGATCTTTAAGGATCGGCCGACGCTCAAGGAGCATATGCGAAAAAAGGGTCACAAGCGAATCAATCCGAATAGAAGGGAGTATGACAAGTACTTCCTCATCAACTATAATCGTGTACCGACTGCGCCTACGTCTCGCAAACAGCACTACCAAAACCGAAAACGGGACCAAGCTTCCGTGTCCACAGTCGCGGATCTCGAAACTGGCAGCGTGGACTTTGACAAGCATTTCGCCCGCAACGATTCAGATGAAGAACACGATTCGGATTGGTCCGATTGGGCGGCAGATGGGGAACCAAGTGGCATTAAGTGCCTGTATTGCCAACATCTCGGAGAGACTTTTACCGCCCTCAAAGATCACATGAACGAAGCTCATTGTTTGGATTTCGACAAGGCCACCAGCTCCTTGAACTTTTATCAAAAGGTCAAGGTGGTCAACTATTTGCGTCGGCAGGTGTGCATGCTGCGCTGCGTGACCTGTGACCTGCAGTTCGACGATCAGGAGTTGTTACTGGACCACATGACCCAGGAATCGCATTGTGGCATTGGCAGCAAAGTAAGCTGGGACAAACCAGAGTTCTTTTTCCCGTACATAGAGAATGATGGACTGCTGTGCGTGCTGGATGATTCTGGAGGCGATGATCCGGATACAGATGTGGTGCGCATAATCTCGGAAGACAGTCTAGCGCAGATCAACAAGGATGCGGAGCGACTGTCTCTCGAGAACTTTAAACTGTAAAGTGTTCAATCGATTTGGTTAACAAGTAGCAGATAAAAAACAAAAACTTAAGGGTGGCTCTTAAAAGATTGAAAACCTGTTCAAGATTTATTAAATCCGTGGTTTCAAAGTGTTTTTAAACATCTGTCACCTAGCTGCAAGATAACCCAGTATGAAATTTATAGGTTTCTTTTGTCAAATTTTCCGTAATGGTTTTTAAGATCATTGTCTTTATTGTGTTTTTTCTGTTTGATCTATTACACAATGTTCAAATTAATTCAATAAAAGTTATTTGGAGGGATGATAAGAAGAAATATTTTTAAGCAGATATGTAAATGCAGAAACATAAATTACAGTTAATTTAAATACATTTCTACATTCAACTTCAATTCTCCATTCAAATTTAATTTTACATGATGTCAATTATGTGCAGTCTACTCAAGGGTTAATAAGCAACAGTATCAGTGTTGCACAATGTATCGATAGTACTGAATCAACATCGATAGTTGCTCCAACCTAACAGACTGACATCATTCCCTCAGTGCAACCAAACAAAATAAAGAGAAATCGACCGAAAATGGAGGCCCTGGACATTCTGGAGAAGCGCATCGATGCCCTAACGCGAGTCCTGGGTCCCGTGCACGAGGCAGAGGCGGGAGAAGGCGTGGTGGACGCACTCTGCTCTGCTCACGCTCTTCTGGGCGAGGCGACCACAGGAAGTGTTCCACTGCAGCAATGCGTGAAGAGATCCGGTGAACTGGAGAAGTACCTCGATCCCAACTTCCTCGAGGAGCAGCAGCAGGTGCGCTCCAAGGAGGTCTACCTGCACGCCGTTGCTCCGGAGTTGCAAACCCAGGCAGAGCAGCTGGAGAGGATCAGGCAGCTGGAACCAGCTCTGGGTGCTGAGTACTTCCGCAGCATTCCCTCCGAGTGTCTGGACCAGCTTAAGGGCATCACCCAAAACAACGGGGAGTACGCCCAGCAAAGTGAGCTCATTGAGGAAAGCCTGGTTTTGGCCATGAAGCGGTATGGTGAGATCCAGGCGGGTTTGTTGAGCTCCTTGGACGCCATGAGCGAGCGGTTGGACCAGGTGGAGGAGCGCATGGAGCAGAGAAAGCGGGCAGAGCTCAACAAGGACGTGCCGCCAAAGGATTGAGCGGATATCGCTCCATAGACTGCTGAAAGTATTTCATACGGCCCCGTTTTCAAATCCTTTCCCATTCATAACAAGATATTCCTATTGGCAAGGTATTGGTTCTTAATGGAACTAATATTGGATCGCAATGTATTATTTCTGTTAGAAACTGAAATTTGATTGGAATCGGACAAGAAATCTGGGGTATTAGATTTTCTAACCACTATAAGCAGAAAAGTGGATAATGATGCTCTTTCAATTGTAAGTTTCCTTTTTAATCATATATTTAATATAGCACAATAAACAAATCTAATAAAAACATCCAATATTAATCGGATGCCGACTTCTGAAATGTTGTAATTATGTTATCGTGGTATTTAAACTTTTTAATATTTTTAATTTAAAGCTAAAGATTTTAAGATTTTGTTAAACACTATTTAAATTGCATTGGTAAAAGTACCCTTGTAATTTATTCGATATAAAAACACAAATAAGATCATTGGCAACATATTTATCAGTTTTTAAATCTACATTTTAACTAATTATTATTATCTAATTGTGTAAGCAAACGTAAAACATTTTTTTTGTCTCCGAAGACTTAAAATTCCTTTTTAAAAGATATTTGTTGCTCGCGCAACAAACAATATTACGTCATAAGGAAAAGTTCAAGCACGTATTGGATCCAACCAAAACCCATTGTAATAACGTTGGAGGCACAGTCTTGACTTCTCTGCTTCCGAAGAGAGAAGTCTGGTGTTCCTAGAAGCGCAGCTCGTTTCTTAATATCCTTTCATAAACGGATAAAGTGAGCGGGGCATAAACGCCATCAGGTTGAGCGTAGAAGAGTTCATCCTCTATGAGCTCCGGATTGAATCCCTGCTGCTGCAGCTCCACTTTGCGCAGCTTGAAGGTGCCGGTCAGATCGATTCTGCGCAGGAATCTCAGGAACTGCGGTCTTGCATAGCTGGGCAGCGATTTGGCCAACTCCTCGCCCAGTTGGCTGACCTTTACCTCTCGAACTGGATCGTAGATGGCCGCCATTCCGGCTCTTCCCTCGGTGTGGGGAATGCTAACTCCATAAACGATGACATCCTTGTAGCCAGCCAGATTACTTAGCTGCGCTTCTACCTCGCTGGTGGACACGTTCTCACCCTTCCAGCGGAAAGTGTCGCCGGTGCGATCCTTGAAATACAGATAGCCCCGCTCATCGGCCACCAGCAGATCGCCCGAAATGAAGGCCATGTCGCCCTTGGAGAAGACATCGTGCACAACCTTCTTGGAGGAGGCCTTCTGGTCCACATAGCCGAGGAACTCCCGGCAGGGATTTCCCCTCACAATCTTTCCCACAAAGACGCCAGCTTCATCCTTCTCACATCTCTCGCAGAGTCCTTTGTCGTTCCTCAATGGCTCTCCCGTATGGGGATCCGCTTTAATAATCGAAATGGGATAGATCTGCGGCATGATGCGGGAAATAAAGCCGATGGCTCCCATGGTGCTATCGTTGTTCATGATATTCGCATTGCCCTCGGTGGCTCCGTAGAACTCGCCAACTTTTCTGATTCCAAAACGCTCCACGAACTGCGGCCAAATTTGTGGACGCAATCCATTGCCAAACACCATTCGCACTTGGTGATTGCGATCGGTTGGAGCAGGTGGAGTGGCCAGAATATAGCGGGCCATCTCCCCGATGTACTGGCCAACCTGGGTAAGTATTATGTACATTTTTTATAAAGAGTGTTTTGATCAAAAGGTTATTTATATTACCGTGCACTTGAATCGAGCGCAGTCCGAAAAATAACCAGATGCACTGAATTTCTTCCTGATGACCACCGTGGAACCAAAGAGCAGGGCTTGACCCATGCTCATCACTCCGCCAGCAGTGTGATATAAAGGCAAAGGTGTGTAGAAGACATCCTGATCCTTAAAACCCAGCGTGAAGTGGATGCCAGCAGCGATAAAGAAGTAACTAAAAAGGAAGGTACTATTTAAAGAGAAAATCTGTCGGAAGTAGATGAAATTTCTTACCGAGAATGAGTGATTACGGCTGCCTTGGGCAATCCCGTAGTTCCCGAAGTGTAGATGTACACCAACTTATCATGGTGATCCGCTCGAGCAGCACCTGCTGCCACTTTATCCTTGGCAGCCGTCTCCAGAAGACCATTTAACTGCTGGGCCAATCCTTGACTGAGTCCCTCTGATGCTACAATTTCCTGGTTACTTTCGTCATTAAACTGATATAGTCCTACGTGGGCAGGCAAATCCTTGGCAATATCCATCACAGCAGATCGAAAACTGGCTCCGTAAATGAGAGCTGTACATTGACCAACTGTAATGCTGTGCTGCAGAGATGCTCCTCTGAGATTGGTGTTTATCAGTGGTGTGATAACCCCAATCTTGGACAGACCCAGCCAGGTGGCCACGAATTCGGGGCGATTCTCCAGCAGCAGACCCACCACATCTCCCTTTTTGTAGCCATGGCTGTGGAACACATTGGCCACTCGATTTGCGTGCTCGTTCACCTGCCGGTAAGTCCACTGCTGGGATTCGCTGACGATGGCCAACTTATCCGGCTGACGGGCAACATTTGCTTCGAAAATGTCTCCTATGTTTACGTTTTTCCGCTCCTGCCGTTTTATGAACAATAAAACACGGATGTAGGCAAAGAGAGCACTAGAAAATAAATTAGATTTTATTAAAATGCTTATATTTCTTTAGTAACTTTTTGTTCAACTTACACAGTATCGCGTGGAGTGGTGACCGCTGCTATATAGAACCATCGCCAACCAGGACGCACCAGCAATAAGGCTATTATGCTGGCATATAGAGAGGCCACTCCATACCAAGGTCCATGGTAATAAAAGATTAAACCTGTAACAGCGCTTAAGGCGGGTGTTAAAATCCATTGAATATTACGTCGAAAGTTGGTTTTCTTTGGTGGTTTCAAAACTTCCGGTGCTTCTATGGAGATAGTCACCTAGAAAAAATAAAAAAAAAGTACACTACTAAAGAACTTTAAAGGAAAATAGAAAAAAATTATATATGGTTACAATCGAGAACTTTCATGGCATCACTCATACGCCGCGTAAGCCCAACCGAAACGGGTGTTACACAATAATAACTAGAATAACCCTTATATCTGACCCCCCTAATAAAGTGTATTCAAAGCTTTTCCTGATCTTCAGCTAATTGCTTGTTGTTTAATTTGCACTCAAGCGACAGCTACCCCATAACTTATTCCGCATCAATCATTTAGCACTTTATTTAAGCAATTTGCAAACAAACAACCAAAAAAAAAACATAGAAAAGTAAACACAAAATATAGAGTGGAACAAGAGCTAATGGCCGAATCGATGGGCATTGCGACCCGACGAATACTCGCGGAAGTGCATCAAAGCCTTCTTCTCGGCATCGGAGGCCAATCGGTTCGACAATCGGATCAGAACACAAATGGTGAGCGCCGAGACCAGTCCCAGCATAAAGAAGGCGATCTATTATACGGGTTTGATATTCAATAAGAAATAATGCTTGGGGGACTCCCGGTTTACCTTGTGCCAAATGGTCAGTCGATGCTGGGTGACGATCTGACCGCCGCCTTCCACCAACGGATCACTGTCGGTGCCCGTCATCATGTTAATAGAAGGCAAATCTTTGCTCAACTATTTTGACCCTTGGCGCTTCAATGGCTCAGCCGTCTATCTGTTTGATTTGGTCGTTTTTTTATTTGACTGACAGTTAGTTCGGGGAAGTATTGTAACATTGAATTTAGGGAAGGTGTGTAACTACAAATTGATACGATTTTAAAGGCTTCCCTAAAAAAAGTATGATAATTTATATCTTATATCACTTTATAATTTATTTCTTGTTTATATTAATCTACTTCCTGACACCCATTCAACTATGCTCCTCTAAGGCATTAAGTGCATTAAAACAAGTTCATTTTTTGCATTTAACTTCCCAAAAGTCGTTTATTTAACAGCCTTCATTAACAAACAATTCAAGTCACCCTGATCTTGACTTTCAAATGGTTTCGCACCGACTCAATAAAAAGACCTAGTTAAGGTTGCAATAATCTTTTATATAAAACCAGATTATAGAGTAAGCTTCATCCGAACAGATGACCGATCGCATAATACTCGAGACCCAGACCTAGTCCCGGTTGAAATCCACAGACCAAAAGTAAACTGGTTTCGGTTTTTTCTGTGCGGTTTCTGATGGCAACGTGAGTTTTATTTTGTTGTCAGATAAGGTTTGGCTCGGTGACGAGGGGGAGGTCGAGTTGGGACCCACCAAGTGAAAACAACAAAGCGAATCAAGCGCGAAAACCGAAAATATGTATGTTAACCACATTCGTGCCAGTTGATGGGTATATATATTATTTACCTGTTGGGGGTTCAAGGCCGTCGAACTTGGGGCACCGGCAGCTCCATCATCCGTAGTATTGGCACCACCTGTAGCAGCACCACCATCAGTCGAAACATCAGCGGTGCACATTGTATTTATTTTGAGCTTAACAGCACATTTACAGCGACTGCAAACCGATGTTGATTAACAGCTCGGCTCGATTTGGTCTTCAATTAACTCCGCCGCTTTAGGTGGTTTTTATTGTGATTTCTTGATGGTTACACCAAAAATAAAACCAGAAAATAATAAAAGATAAATAACTCTTCGTATAAAAATTACAATGCTTTTAAATATTATGTATGTGTTTTGATAAAAAGCTTATAATTTTTAAAACATTTTTTTTACCATCTTTTTGACAATACTAAAGGCTTTTATGTGATGCACTACATTTTGTGTCATCTGTCTATTTTTTCTGTGCACTTTCGAAGCGAAATTATGGGTAATTAGGCGACGTGCAGCAGTCGGAAGGGGCAAACAAAAAGAGAAAAGGCGAAAAAGCTAAAGAAAACCAGAGATAACGATGTGGGGAATTTGCAATTGTAGTGCACAAGTGACACCTGAAAAGATGGAGAAAAATTGCCTTTTTTGACGTGGTTTGAATGATGCTGCGTCGCTTTTCAGTTCAGCTGTGTGTGCCACAGTGTGTTTGTAAGCTCAAGGTGAGTTTTGGGGTCTGCTTCGGTTGTTTATGCGCGACGAATGGCAAAAGTTAAGTTGAGTGAAGCTCCAGGTGGCCCATAAAACCGCTAATGTATGGTAAACACTTTTAGTGAAAAAGACAATTAAAGTAAGTTTGTGTTGAGGAAGTTGGACTTCAATTATGTTGCCTGCATTTAAATAGGAAGTAGGCAGAAGTAACAGAATAAGCTTCAAATTGCTTAGCACTTTTTAATGCCAAATTATATTCCATTAACTCTCTTTGTTTGGAATAAATTGTTGGAAAAACAAAAATGTCTTGCTTTCGTATAAAAATAAATTTAATTGCTTAAAATGAAAAAAAACACGTTGAGTTGATTTACTTATATTCTTTTAAATACGAAACAACCTTTATTAAATGGGAAACTTAAATTAAACTGATGCGCGTGTGATGACAAATTAACTAGGAGCGCAGCAACTTTAAATTAACCACTTAAATTTGTATCTTTGCTGTTAACCTAATGACTCTTATGTCAAAAATAAATGTATATAAAATGTTTAACCAATTTCCCCTTAGTTTTTTTTCACTAATTTGCGAATGCAGAAACATGGCTTTTTCTCAGCCTGCGGCTGACTCAAAACTTAAATTCCAGTCCTCGTGTTGCAAATTATTTTTTTTACAAAATTTTGCTCATGCAAACATTTAGTGTTGTTGTTGTTATTGTTTCTACTTTGTGGTTTCTTTGTTTTTTTTTCTTGTGGCACACATTTGGATAAACACATAAGATCGGCAGAGATCATTAAGAGATGCGGATGTTGGCGACGCTTCATCACTTTCACTGAAATCTTCTTCTCCTTTCCTTTGTTAAATTTCTTTGCCTTTTGTGGGTCCCCACATCTCAAGCTCGGAATTTTCAGGGGATTAAGAGATACGAGATACGAGATGGGATGTGGGATGTGGGATGCGATTAAATTGTGGCTAAAATTGCTGTTCACTCTATTAACTTGATGGATATATTGCACGCACAGTCAGAAACGAAATAATCTTCGACTTGGAGCTGGTGTTTTAACATTCTGGCAAAGAATGTGGTAGAAAAACATGCAAAACTGTTGAATCTCTTTAAACTTTAAAGAACACTTATTAACAAGTTTTTATTGGTTATTTTTCATTTGCGTTGAGCTGTTATCTCGTTAATTTTAGGAGCAAAGCCCATGATTAAAATAAACGAAACCTGTAATTATTTTTTAAAAAGCCTTGGCACATTTGAATCTACTTCACAATTTAATTTTGCAGAATTTTAAACAGTATTTATATACACGTGGAAATTTGTTACGAACTTTTAACTAAAAACACACTTTTTACTATATTTTAAATTGATTTTTTTTTGGGATTTACTTTTTTCTCAAATGTTTTAAATATCAGGTGGGAGTTTAAGTCGGAGTTTAAGCCGGTCGCGTCTTTCGGCCAACAGCTTCGTTCATCAACTGCGCCCAAAAAGCTAACTGCTTCTGCAGCCGTCGCTGCCCAAGCTCTGCCGGCGTCGACGTCGACGTCGGTGGCAACAGGTCGCCGCCGCAAACACCGATACACACTGACACAAAAAGCCAAGCTTCGGGTCGAAGCTCTGTGTCTGAGCCAAGTTAACAATGTGCTGTCGGCTGGCTAAAATTGTCAGTTGCGATTCTGTTGTGTGTTTGCACGTGATTATGCCGCATGCAACATGTGTATTGTTTTATTTCCCTTGCCTCTTAAGCGAGTTTCCTTTGTGGCCATTAACATGTCAACAACCACGGAGCGTCAAGAATGTGGCTGCAATGGGGCAGTGGCGGGGAGGGGCAGCCAGAGGAGGGATTGGCGGAGTGGGTGGCGGTGGGAGAAGGCCGTGCGGAGTGCAGCGAGAATTTAATTCAAAACACGTGTCTCACTCTCTTCGTGGCTGTTGCCCTCTTCGGGCTTCTGTTTTGCGATTCTTTCCATCGCATTTCTTTCTATGCATGTGTGCACCGAAAAAAACAAAAACCATTAAACAAAATCGTTAAATTGATTATTTCTCAATTGCTCCTTGTCGACCCATCTATGGATTTAGCTAATTTTTTAATTGTCAATTGATTTGTTGATTTACTACACCAAAAAAACAAATATCAAAATAAAATTTGGATTAAACAAATATTTTTAAACTCTAATATCATGTGTGGTTTTAATGACTGCAATCATCTATATCAATTTGTTGCGAATTCAGATTAATTACAACAATTAAAGTCTCATTAGTATCTATTAAATATGGCTTGGTAGAAACAAATGTATCAAACAATATTTGATATTGTTGAGTAAATTATGAGTTTAGATACAAAAATGTCAAAACAAAATTATTTTTTCCAAATTTTAAATTTTTTCTAACTTCAAAAAAATTTTTATTATTATTATTATTCTGTTATATAGAAAGACATATACATTTCTTTTTGGTGTACCTACAAAGTACGTACATGTATTTTTGAACGAGCAATTGATGCGTTACCCCTTTGCCAACCTCTTACTCCACTCCGAATGTAAACTCCATAGCAAGAGCAGCGCAAACCGTTTATTAAATACAATTTTGCATGTTGATTTCTTTAGCTCAGATCGTTTGCCATGACTCGGCCAAATTGTTATAAACAGTCTGTGGACTGAGTAAGATAGATATTAAGAGTCAGCTAAACAGTTAGCTTAGAAGTAAGCTGGGGGGCTTGAATCAGGAAAACTGGGTCAATTGAATGTTGCCAAATAATTTTTGGTCCGTTGTAACAGAGGCTTTCAAATGATCCACAGTTGTGAGACACTTTTAACATTAGTTTACCATCACTAGAATAATTTATATCAATAACATATACATAGGTCATATAATTTGAATTTTATTTTAAATTGGTTTTTAGAATCTACCGCTTATAAGATAGGATAACAACTGACCTTAACCTTCTGTTAGTTCCAGTCTACTTACAAAAGCTGGAATCGATATTCACGAAGCTTTCATATTGTGAGCTCATATTACATCAAAGTAGAACTCACTTTACAAGATTCTCATTATTGTTAATAGTTCTACTCACGCAGGCACATGAACTCAAAGCTATTATAAGGCAATAATTGGCTAAGCTTTGACTCTGGGATAATAACAAGTTTATCACGATAAGTGAAAAGCGCCCCAGAGATCAGTTCATAGAGATAGAACTGGTCGGGTAATCGTGAAAATAATCACTTTGATCTCGCTAAGGGGTTAATAAGTGGTTTCTTCCAAGAGAATTAGAGAAATTTTAGGCCGCAATCAAATCAATAAACATGAAATTCTTGCAAACTTGCCATGTCCTTCATCTCGATCATAATTTTGTAGCAAATTCACTTACCTGTAAATCATAATTCACATCTGTCAACAGAAACTTTCACATGGCAATTCATGGACTCTTTCTGCTCTAACAATTTTTATAGTTCCTGCCAATCAACAGATCGTTCCACTCCCTTCGAACCGCCAAGATACCAATAATAACAAGGCTCCAAAGATATGCCCGACATTCAATGGTCGTTTTCACACATACCCAACCAGACATAAAGTGTCTGTGCAAAAAATGCAGTCGCACATATTCGGTTTATATATACTCCGCCTCTTTTATATATAGTTTGGAATATATTTCACCCTTCGGGGGCTTGCCCTTCGCCCTTCCCGTTTTCCCTGCTCTTCGGTACTTGAGAAGGAGGGAACTTGCCTGCTTTGCCGGCTTCTTGTGGATTTTGTCAAGTGGATTTTTGTCGAGTTTTTGAGATCATTAAAACAACATCGTTAGGGCGTCCATAATGAAGTACTAAAGAGGAACCCAAGAAGCAATCCCTCGAGAGTGCGACTAAGTCCCGAAATGGAGGAATTCAATTTCAAGGCGATGTTTTATGGCTCTAATGATTAGTTCTAGAGACGCACTGTCGCCTCTCTCGGTTGAGACTAACGCAAATCCAAGAAGATATATACTTTCTCATCCGACTTTATATGGCGTATTGTGTTACGCTTCGCTCCGCAGGATTGATGGATGCGACCGTGAAAAGCGCGGCGTGGAAAACTCTCGCTTCATCATCGACAGCGATGTTCATATCCATCAGCGGTGGCATGAATAATTTTTCGCCATTCAACCATTTACTTGGGGTATATTGGATTGGAGATTGAATAGAAATATAAGTTTTCAAGGACTATCAAGTAATATGATCTCCACAAAATTTATCTATTTTTGCTGAATATTTTTGTTCTCGTTAAGAAAAGAGAGATAAACTTAAGGATTTCTTTTTTTTTTTTAATTAAAGAGTTATTTGAGATCAAAGGCATTTTCAAATTATTTGGAATACCACTGTTCATTAAAATAAAATATTAAACACCCATTAAAGTTAAATTCTATTTTTGCAAGACCCAGAAATATAGTTAAATAATTATTAAAATTATGTAAAATCTTATTATTATATAACATTTTATGTAGGGTATATCCTTACTCGACTTTCTGCCTTCTAATTGATTTTTTGTGTTTGCCGCCATCGAATCTTGTTCTTCTTCGTCTATATGTAAGGCCGCCTTTGGGGACGCTCCCGCGCTGTCAGAAATTAATCTTTCCCTTTCGCCAGATGTTGCCTGCTGCCGGCTGCGGTTGGCCAAAGGGAAGCGCGGGGGCAAGACGAGATCTTGGCGCAAAGTGTCAAGCGTTTACATCAGAGATGATCGCGTTCCCAGAACAAGGAATTCACCATTTTGATTCTTTTGATTTCCCGTCTTCACTCTTTTGTTTTCCCTTTCGGGCCATAAGCAATTTTTCTTTTGCACACAGCCAAATGATATGTAGATTTGATTTTGTCAAATAATATGGATATTCAAAAGCAATATATTTTTTTATATTTAACTGGTTAAATTTATTTTTTACAAAGAAATTTATATTTTAAAACAAGTTATTAATACATTTTACATGTATAACATTTACATATGTGTATTTATATTTTATAATTTAAATCTATCTTTTGCTAATACAGAAAAAGTTTAACGCACGGCAGGTAGTCGGCAAACAAGTATTAGTTGTATCAAACAAAGGTTAAAAACCTTTTTATAATTATTTTTTAATGACCAGGTAACAATGTTAGTTGTAATATCTTTTACATCATTAGCTTTAATATTAATAGCCAATTATATTTGATGCTACGTGTCTCTAAAAATTGTTTGTCATTTTAATTGTTTGCCAGCTTTATTAAATAAATCTTTGATCTCTACGTATATCGGTTTAATCTTTGATCCCTATTTTCCCTCTGCAGTTGAGAAAGCGTTTTACTTACTTCCTGACTTTTAGGGATGCCGGTGGGGTGGGGGGAAGTCAACAGTTTTTGCCTGCCGGCCAAGTCACTAAAATGTTTTTATGTAAATAAACAAAAGTTTGGTTTGGTTTTTCCTCCCTTTGTTGTTGTTGCTGTTGCTTGGGATGTTCCTTTTTGGATGTCGACCGCCGTCGTTGTTGGGCTTTTTTATGGATTGTTTTTTGTTTATAGACAACTACAATCACGGGTGTGTATGTGTATGTGCGTTTGTGAGTTGCTTTTTATGTGCTGCGCAAAGGCATCTTCGGCTGAAAAAATATAAAAGCAAAATATTTATGCGACCGATGCGAGGCACAGCCTGTCCGTCAGACTGTCTCGATTTGGATCCCCGTTCAGGGGTGCCAACGGGGCGGATGAGTGAACGAGATGCCCATAGTAGCGATCGGTTTTCCGCTACCCCTTTTTTCACGCCTCCGAGCAATTACTTCGAGTCCAATACCCTGCGATTGCTACCGAAATATGTTGGCTATGGTGCGAAGATATAACGAGTAAGAGAAAGATGTACATTTTAAAACATTTTTGATTATACATTATTGATTATATCTACATATATTGCTTGGAGCGTGGTCTTAAATCTGAAAGTAAAATGCACTTTCCGAAACATAGCATTTTTTATATTTCTTAATAACAGACAATTAACATTAGTAAAGTAGCATAAGTACAATGTTAATATTGTCTAATAATTATAATATGAAAATGATTTGTGGCACCATGCATCCACCAATATAACAACTTTATATTCACGGTATATAGAAATGAGAAAGTTAACCATTTAAAAAAAGTGTAGAAGAGCAATTTTTAGTCGAATACCTTCAGCTAAAAATACTATTCACTTGTCTTTTTATGAACTTCCACACTCACACTAACAGCTAGGCCATAAACAAACATTTACGTACACATTAAAATGTATCTCGTAGATGCACATTCAGTACATTAGCTGGGCTTTTTGTTATTGTTGCTGATGGACAGATCGGCCGACTTCATCATCGGTGGCCATTAGTCAGCTGCCATACCCTCCTGCCCCCACAATACTTTCCCTCGGAGCTTCTATGAACTTTGATCGCTGATTGATTGGCAAAATGCACTCGAAAATGCTGGCAGCACCTCCATGAACGAACCTTCGTATATCGATGATTTTAATTACTTGAGCCGTTGAGCAGTTTGCATATTTCGTTGTTGGTGCAATCGTTGCGTGAACCAGATGTTTTCCCCAAGAATAGGGGTATCGAGAAGGGTCAGGGGAAAACATGCATGGGAGTAGAAATACGATTAAATGAGAAGGTAAAGGATGTGTAGAAAAATAATCCATGAAATAGAGATCAGAAGTTTCACATATAACTAAACAAACGGGAATGTTTAAAAAACCATCTAGTAAAATAAAAATCAAAAATTGCTTTACATTTTGTATACTTTATTAGTAAATTTTCCGCAGTTCGGATAACAGTCTAAACATTGCTAAATCTCAAATAATTAGCCTATTAATCATTCAGTCATTTGTAAGAACATTATTTAAATAAAAGTGATTTGCGTCAAGCTGTTTACATTAACATTTCTGCAAGGAATTTATTATTAATACCTAATAATACTTAATGTTATAAAAAGGATTGAAAATATTTTAAAAATTCAGTCTTGTTTATTTTTATATTACTTTGGGCATCTGTAATACACGGAAACCTTAGATCACTGTAATAATCCCCTTCATTGTTCTTCTTTTTTCTTGTAATCCCTATGAAACCAAGATTTCTACGCCCATGGATGCAGGACTGGGGCAGCCAGCTCCCACTGGCGATCAATCAGCGGGGCACAAATGAGTCTGCGAATGGGTCACAACAATGCATTGCGATCTCCAAGTGGGCAGCAAACGCTTCCGTTTTGTTTTTCTCTCGTCTGTCTGTCTGGCTTTACTTTGAAATCGGAAACGCTTCGTATAATTTTTGGACACACCGTTTTGACTTTAACATGGACACGGACACGGTCATCTGCTCGTCTGAGAATGGATACGGGAATTCAAAAGTGAATGGGAAACTGCAGCAGTACGCGGGTTGATCATATTTGAGATTTTTGCAAGGAATTCAATGGAATATTAAAAGTAGCTTTGATGAAACTCATTTATTTGTCTTAAGTTAATGGTAACAAAGAAGGCAATTGTTAGCATTTAAGGTTAAGAGAAGAGGTTATGAGAGGGAATTAAGTCTGTTCATAAAATTTGTTAAAGACTTGAAACATGTAGTTGTATTATCTTCTCATTATATTTATCCATTTCAGCAAATTTATTTATATTCAAGACCGCACCTTCACCAAATAATGATTTATTGATTTGTTATAAAATCATCGAACCAAATCTCCTGTCAATATTTTCTCTTCTAATGCACTTGAATTTTTCTTTGGCCCCAAACCCTAAATATTTTCCCCTCTGACAAAGGATGACGTGTCAACCATTCGAAAACTGAAGGGGAATGTTGCCTTTTCCACTGTATTAGTTTCAGTTACTGCAATTACAGAGTAGAATTTCCAAAGAACATTGTTTTAGTTCAGCCCCCCCGTAAGAAAAAAATATATATTGAGGGAACCACCTTGAATCTGAAGGATTCCAGAGGGGGAATAAAGTGAGTTGGGATTCATGGCTACCTAAAAATGGGAGACACAAAACTGTCAACGCCCCCTCTCCCCCTCCCCCAAAATTTCCAGGCTCTTCCTTTTTCGAGAGTATATAATTCGAGGGGTTTCTTAAAAAGTGCTGGAAGAGCGGCTCAAATGTCGAAGGATCATAAATCCTGTAGCTAAATTTAGAACGTGCGGAGGGTGGAAGGATGGGATCACGGCAGGACGAGTGAGATCCCTGCCAGGAGAAGGGCCATTGCCTCTTTATGTGTGATTTTAACTAACTTATTTTTCTTATTTTTTTTTCGCAAGGCCAATTCCCACACATGGTAATCAATGGCATGTGCTATGCGCCTAAGGACTGCAAATCTCGCTGCGCAGCGAAAAGGACCTCATGCCAGGGGACAAACCGATTTCCTATTATTTTCCCAACACATGTGTGGGCGAGCGACTCGGGTCGACTCGTAAATGAAATGAAAACAATGCCAGGATCTGTTCGGGTCCTTTGCCACGATTTTCCCTGCCCTCGCTGACTCTCTAAAGGAATAGGCGCCGCCAGTCCAAGGGATGCTTGATCTACGATATGTATTGGCCTCCGATATTCGGATTCATTCATCAGACATCCGAAAATGGGCGTTCTGGCAACCAATACTCGTATAAATCAATTGTTCTTGAACCCTGTCTCTTTCTACGCTCATGATTTCTCTCTCATTTATATGTAGTTTTCCGCCTTAATTAGATACGGAAATTCTTGGGAAATTCTGCGTTCGTTATACGACTATTGGCAGGAAAATAAAATGGTGATTCGGTTTATTGATTTGGGCGGCCAGCTAGAAATTCTCTTGATTAAATAAATATTTTAACAAACATGCGATAAAGCAACACGATGTTCTTCTAACAATTTATTTTACAAGATAAATAGTATATCAAGGAAGCTCTATTACCATTAAATTTGAATTTATTTTATTTAAATGAAGAATGCATTTTGCGATAGATGGCCAGAATAGAAATGCTTTAAAATTTAATATATTCATGTTTTTTATCAGCTAACTTTTAGGATAATAATTTCTTCTATTTTATCTTCCGTTTAAAGGGGAATATTCAGTCCATAGAATGAAATTAGTGTTAGGCTTGAAAATCTTATAAAGAAAAAATAAAATAAATTGGCAAACAAATAAATTAAAACTTGTTCGATGTGTGAAATGATCAAAATCAAAAGATAAATTGCGTTAAGTGTGTAATTTTTCTAAAACTTTCCTCATAAATTTTCTCAAGTATAAAGTTGCCTAATCTTTGATAATCTTCCTAATACTTTCTAACACTTCGGAAATGAGGACTCCCCAACCCCAAGAACGACAACCTGTCAACATGCATGCGATATGCCAATTTAAACAGATCCAAATACAAATCTAAATTTGTATCCACACAAATTGTGTGCAGATCTCTTAGAAGATCCAAAATAAGCAACGTACAATGTATTTAGAGCGGAGAGCACTTTCGAGCAACGAGAGCTGTCATTTAAAAAGCAATTAAGTCAACAACTATGAACGAGAGCGATCGGAGCGATTTCAGGCCTTTGATGAGGAGGAGTCCAGTTTTCCAGGCCCCAAGGCGGCGGCGGCGACTAAATTATCTGACTGAGCTAATTATGAGCATTTTAAGCACGCATTTTGGCGACACAAATACATTGCTCACTATATATTTGGTTGCCGTTGGGTATACTTTGTAAACAGTTTTTATGTTTTCGAACATAAATCAACCGGATGTGGATGTGTTGCTCCATCGCGGGACTCTGCCTGGTGTTCTTCCCATGAACACACCGAGTATCTATAGGATGCAATGTGTATCTCGCAGATACACACAGAACCATTGCGTCCGCCCGCCGTCCATCTGTCGTCGGAATGACGTTACGCTCTAAGTATGTCGACGTCGCTTCGATTGTCTCCGCTTTATAAGACAAAAAGCCCAAACTTGGGGACCGACCCCCCCAGCGAAGACATTTTCGCGCCCAATTTAGTGAAGGGGATGGAATCCCAGAAACCGCAGCAAAATGGAACGAACAGAGAGAGAAATACAATAATTAAATGCAAAATGGCGTTCGGTTTTTGTTCATCATGGCTTTTCTTTGTTTCTTGGCTTGTTTCGTTTTTACAATTAATTTAGTTTAGTTTAGACTATACAAATTAAATAGGCTTTAATCGTAGGCTTAGGCTTAGACATCTATATAATCGACACGTATATATGGAAAGAGTGACAGAGAATTGAAGAGTGAGAGCGGCCAGGGCTCTGGAATTCACACGATAGTTGCAGCTGGAAGCCCATCCTGGATCCTTGGCAGGCATATATATTCATTTAGTATATAGTCGCCCGATCCGTTGCTATGCCTTCTGGTGCTGGGCATCGCCCTCCATGCGCCACACCCCGAAAAGGTAGCTCAGCTTCTCGGGCGGGATGATAGGTGCTCCGTTCGCCTTCCGCAGGCACTTCAGATCGGCATCGGCTCCATTGGCAGCCGCACTCAATATGGAGCTGGCCGATCCGTAGGCCGAGGGCGATCCCTGGGCCTCCAACGCCTTCAGCAGGGAAATGTCGCTCGAGCTGAGCATGCGGCACAGGAAGTCGATGTATCTGTAAGTTAAAGAAAATTTGTCGATTAGTACTATATTAAAAGGAGTAATTAAAAAAGTAGGTAAATCCTCTAATGGAAGTTAGGAAAACATTTAGTGTAATATATACTCGTATATTTTGGGATTAAAATGTTTTCTAAATTGATAACGAAATAAAATTGGGCTATGTAAAAATGTTCCGTTCAGAAAATATTTATACTAAAAAAGGATAAACATAAGGCCCAAGCATAAACATAAGTTATTAACAAAATTGATTATATGATGGCCACGAAAATGATATTGGGATGTTATTGTCTTGGTTTAGATAGTCAAAAATAAACTTTTGGCATGGAAAATTAAACAATTTTTGTATAAATGCAAGAAAATGTTTAGACAGCAAACTTTATATTACCTTGTGGCCAGTTTGAGGGTCTGGATCTTGCTGAGCTTGTCGCTGGGCAGCGTGGGGATGATCTGCTGCAGGGACTTGAAGGCGTCGTTGAGGCTCTGGGTGCGCTGCCTCTCCCTCACATTGGCCATCACCCGCTGGTTGCTGAACTCGTCCGTCTCCTCCGACTTGCTGGGCTTCCGCTTCAGCCGGCGACGTGGCTTCCGGAAGGCCTTTCCGCCGGCATCCGAACCGTCCAGCAAGCTGCCGGCACTTCCGTCATCCGCCAAACAGGCGGGCGACATGACTCCTCCATTGAGATCGCTCACGGAACTCAGGGCATTGTGGCGGGCATACTCCATGTCGTCCCGATCCGAGCTGGAATAGGCACTGCCATTCAGGGGAATTGGCCGGCTCATAGCCCTCGAAACTCTGTCTATAGGCCGTTTGGAAGTGCATTTGGGAGTGAGTCTGTTGGTGTTGCTGCTGTTGCTGTTGCTGCTGCTGCTGCTGCGATTGTTGCTGGTTGTTGTAGAGGGGCAGGAAAACCTGAGTCTTGTGCTCGGGAAGATCTTCGTCGGGGAACTCAAAATGCGAGTGAGGCGAGGTGCAGGTGCTCTGGACTCCTGGACAAGATTGAGCCGATGCCACCTCATCCACGGTGGTGGGTAAGTAATCCACATAAATGTGTTGCTGCTGCTGTTGATGTTGCTGTTGCTGATGTTGCTGCTGCTGCTGCTGTTGGTGGTGGATAAGCTTCTTGTGTTCCGGCTGCATGGCCAGTGAACCTCCGGTCTGGCAATCGTAATCACCACTGCTCCTGGGCCTCTTGCCATGTTCATTCCACGAGGATCCTCCGTTGGTTTGGGGGTCAAATCCACTCGGATTGCTGCCGGAAACCGAGTTGTTGCTGCCGGTGTTGTTGTTGTTCAGCTCCAGGCTGGCACTCTGGGCACTCTGGTTGCTGCTGGTGCTGAGTACCTCGTTGCTGGGTATATTGTAGTCGTTGTCCTCCAGTTCCGTGATGCCATAGGCCGCATATTCCGATGGCAGTGGGGCATACTGAGGTTGCTGCTGGTTCTGCTGCTGCTGTTGTTGCTGGTGGAGATGTTGCTGCTGCTGCTGCTGGAGTTGGTAGCCGGATTGCATGTAGGCCTGTTGTTCCACCTGGATGAGCTTGATCACATTGTGCTGCAGCTCCATGATATTCGGCAGCGTGGGCTTGTAGCTAATGTCCAGCAGCACTTTTGGCGACACCGAGCGAGCGCTCATCATTTGGTGATCTTTCTATGTTTTCTAAAACACTTCTTGAGTTGAGATATATATATTTTTAAAGATATATATTGTTTTGGAACAATGTGTGTAGTTTCACGCCCGCGTTTTGTGAATCGATCTGCTTGCACGCACTGACGGAACGCAACTGACGCACGATCCTTCCGGCCATTGCTCAAATTGACATTTTGCGACTGCTCGACGGCCATTCGCTGCCGCCGCCCTATTGTTGTCCCGCTCGCGCGCTCGTACGGCCATCTCGCTCGCACCCAATGGCGGAAGCTGCGGCAGCAGGTATGTCGTCAGTGGCCGGCGGGGGATTTTGATATTCTCAAGCGGCAAGCAGCGGCTGCAAAAATTCTTCTTTCCGAACATTCAGAAATGAGAGCCTTGACTTCGGATCGAGCTCTGGATTTTTCATAGCCCTCTCTTGGGTTATTCTTTGGGTTTTCTCTCGATTTGGGAAAACGTCGGGAAATGGACGCTGGAAATCAAAACGTGGGATGTGCCGGGACTTATCGGCTATTTTTGATATGTTGTTACTTGTTGATCCGAAATGGGAGAATGCTTCGTTAATGTATGTATTTTTGTTATAAAATTTGATTGGGAATCGTTTTGGGAAAGAAATTTTTAAAGTAACAACTTTTTAAGCTGTAAAATTTAAGTACTTATAATTGCATTTTCAATTTACATAATTTCGTTCATATGGGTTAATACAAGACATTTTTAATTAAGAAATTGTATCTTAGAACTTTCGGGATGGGATGGCTTTGACATATTGTTTTATTTATTTTTTATATGATATTTTTGTGTATGTTAAGTTCGGTAGATTTAAATAATACAAAATAATTTGTTTACGACTTTCTTATGTAATTTAATATTTAAATAATATATTTAATAGCTACAAACTGCTCAATCAAATACTTATATTAAATTTAGTTTTTTCTGATTGAAAAGAGTACCAATCATCTATTTATGTTCGTGAAATTTAAGATTAGAGGTTCCTTGTGCTGCTGGAATTTCCCAGGAAACACGCCAAAATGTTTAGACGCTTGCCCATCAAAATCATTCCGTTATTATATAATAATCAGTTGCCAACTATCGTAAAGCATATAATCCTCAACCCTAAACAAGGGGAACTCCACAAAAAAGGTTTCATTATGCCTAATTAGTGAATTCCCACACACACGTACCGAGAAAATCGCAGCCGACAAACGCTCGGAGCTCCGAAAATCCAGAAAAATACGAGCGAAAAGTCAAATTTCCGGATATAATTATCTGCCTGCCTGCCGCGGACACCGAAAATACCCGATTAATGTTGAGCGCGAACTTCCGCTGGAAAAAACCGCTATCGCCGATCGTCGATCGCCGGCTTAGGTAATAGCAAAACCCCAGGAAAAGGAATTGTCGTCCCCTTAGAAAAACCACCAACAGGGTTTTGCCCTGTTCCAAGAGTACCTGGCCCTGCGGAGCTTGTAAGCAGTACCCAATATCATTTATGGCCTTAAATAATTATTGTTACATTTATAAAATCAATAAAGATTTTTGATAGAGTTAAATATTCAGATTAGGTAGTAAATAAAAATAAATCAAAATCACAAAAATAATCAAACTTTTATTTTTGTTTCTTTATACATTGATTTAAAGTAAAAATTAATTTAAGTATTTATAGCACAATAATTACGGTTCTTATTGGTTAAAAAATATATATATTTTGAATTTATATTTTTTATGCGCTTTTTTCAATTAACTAAACAGAACCTTGCCAACTTTTGGGATGAAAAATGAATATTTGTTTTAGGATAGTCACTTTCCATTAGTGCCTTAAAGTATACTTTAAAAATAAAAAAAATTGTAAGTTAAAATTTTAGGCCATGTGCATTTAACATTAAACAAAGCTAGTTTTTATAAATAACCAAAGGATAATGCAATTAACGATTTTATTTCTTTTTAAACAAATATTTCCCAATTTAAAACCTTGAGAAATTCTTCTCGTAGATGGCGCCACAGAGTAACGTAACAGAGATGTATATCCAACGTCTCAAAATGATCTTAATGTTCCCATTGGACACGCTGCAGTCACGTAGTTTATTGATTTCAATTCCGTTTACGAACCCAAATCAAACGAAAAAACCAAATGAGAGAGAAGCTGGAAAAGGTATTTTGCGTATTACTTTTTTTTTAGCGATGCTGCTTCTGTTTTTCATCTCTTGTCGTCTTTTTTCAGGCTTTGCGTGGTGCGATTGCCAAACGATTTTCAGGCCGGCCAACTTTCCATTTTGACAATGCTCTAATCCTGCCATCGCAAAAACCATGTGTGTGGCAGTGTGCGGAGCGTGAGAAGAAACTTTTGGTGCACGTAAATCTCGCTCGACAATCAATTAAAATTAAAATATTTTTTGCCTGCCGAGAGCGCAAGCGTTGTCTACATATTCGAATTGACTTTTGATGATGTATCACGATTTATTGTTACCAAAAATGGTCGTCAAAGCGCGTGGAAAAGTGGATCAGGTAGTCTGGCGACGTCTAACGGTTCGCTCTCTGGGATAAAAAGGGGCGGCGAGCGGTCTGTACTCAAACTCCCACAGCTTTTGATCTTACAGTCCAAACTCCATATGTTGCATTTGGCGAATGAATTTATTACACATTTTATAAGATTTAAGCATTGGCTTTAAAACTGCATTGTTTAAAGATATATTTCAACACTATTTAATCGTTGGGCTATATTATTATTTTTATTTGTGTAAATGTATATGATTTTCTTTTACAATTCACCGTTTATTCTCTAAAATATAGAAATTATAGTCTAGAAACAACAAACGTTAAATTAAAATCAATACAAATGCAAATTTAAAATGATTAAGTATGTTTATACAAAAATACAAGTAGCAAAAGTCTAGCATTTAATGTTTTCATTTGCTTTTTTTTAGTTCACAGTAAAAACCGAAAATGTCGAATAAAAAACACTTGGTTTACTGATTTAAGTAAAATAATATAGAACTCGTTTTAACGTATGTACACTTTTAGCAGTAAAGTTTTAAATTTATTTGTTATGTTTTTAACATTTTTGACAGTTTTAAGCCGAAAGTAATCTGATTTTAATTCTGCAAGTCGTAATTACTAACTGGACTTATCGAATTTCGACTGTGGTTAGCTAGGGAAAATCGTGTGCGATACAGCCTCTGAGATTAGAAGCAAAGCCGCTTGATGGAAACTGCGGCTGCTGTCAGCGAGTGCTCCAAAAAGTATCTTGTGTTCGTGTGTTAATTGTCCCCACTCACCTCACCCACCTACTCCTCCCGCACCCCCTCTCCCTTTTGTGGTTCGGTCAGTAGCCAATGAAATCGCTGGCGCCAAACACCTACACTTTGAGCTTGTCAAGCGGCTGTCCGCGTGTGTGTGTGCTGAATGTTAATTAACAGCACACAAGCACACATACCTACTCAAATGGCAAAAAAGCGCTCGCTAGCACACACACGTGCGCGTTTGGGTGGGGGCTCTCACACACACTGGCGAACGAATGTTGGCCACCCAATAATATAAGCGCCAACTTGTCATTTTAGCCTAGCTCCACCTTAACTAAACAAACAAACAAAGTGGTGCACACACACAAACACACACACAGCGCACGTCAACAAATGCGTGTTGGGGGTGTGGTGAGTTCGGGGCGGCAAAGCTCACCACGCTTTGGGGAGCCAAAGTTGGCGGTTGAAATTCGAAGAGCTCAGAGCAAGTTTGCTCCGCGCCGCGTTCAAACGTGCTCCGGTGGGCAACGCTTCCTTTTACTTTTTAATTTGAAATGTAAATTCAGTTATTTCACCCAAAAAAAACAAAACCAAAACAAGAATGATAATAAAAGGAATAATAAATAATAAAGATATAAACAACAGTTAGTTGGCTGATGTTCACTGCGTTCCATTTCGTTTCGTTCCGTTGCGCTTTTCAACCGGCGTTTTTGCGCATGCGTGCGTGCGTGCACTGCGTGCTGCATTTTGGTGTGTGTGTTGGTGCGACGCTTTAAATGGCGTTTTAAGTGAAATTAAAATGACGGATGTGCTGTAATTTGCACACTCACGCTCGCTCGCTCGATAAATACAACAACATCAACAACGGCGACAACAACAGCAACAAAGTATAAAACCAAGAATCAAGAGGAATAAATAATAAATAACAACACACGCTGTTTGGTGGCCGGGGCGTTGTATTTGTAGCATGTGCCTTAGTTGATCGAATTAAGTGCGAGTTTTATAGCGCCCGCGGGACCGGGAACTGCAATTGACTGCCAGCCGACTGGGCAACCGGAAATGCAAGCCCCACAACAGCAAAAGCAACAAAAAAATAACAAAAACAACAACAAAAACAACAGCAAGTGTAACACCCCCGCCCAGGAAACAGCGGCAATAAGTGCTAATAAGTGAGCCACAGACTATAACTAAAACCGGATGCAGGGCCACTAGTAATTGCCAATTTTAGTTATCTCTTCGCCTCTTTTTTTCTTTTCGTTCAATTGGAAAAATCTGTTGGTTTTGTGTGCCTTAGTTTTTTTTTTAGTCATGCTTAGGCGACTCATAATATATTTGCCTAAGTAACTTCGTCACGCACTGCGCATCCCTCGATTTTCTGGCTGCATTCGTTCCCCCCTCAAAATGCGGCTTTTGCTTCTGCAACGGTGGCCCCCCTCCCACCAAAGGGTCGCCTCCCGCCACCGAAACGCAAGTTAAAGCCATAAACAAGCTAAGCTAAGAAAAAAAAACAGCAACACAAAAAGATAAAGAAGCACAACAACAACAAAAAATAAAGGGGTAACGAAAAAAACTCAAGGTGCGTTGCACTCGTTTTGTCATTGATTCCGCGGATGCGAAATAGCATGCGGCAGTTGCAAGAAAAGAAACACAGGCAACAGCTGCTGCGACAAAAGCCAGGCCAAAAGCAAAAGCCAAAACCAAAACAGCGATTATTTCAAGCATCCGCCTCCACTTTCCCAACCCTCCTTGCAAAAAAAACCCTTGCTGCCTGTCTTTTGTAACGTGGCCAGAACGTTGCCGGGCAATTATTATTTTGTAAGACGTTTTACAATTTAATGGTTTTCATGGTAAGTACAACGACGGCGACGCCAACGCCATATGCCATGTGCCCCCCCTCTTTCCTTCTTCTTCCTTCTTGGCCACCTCTTCTGACCCTGTCAGCTGAAAGTTTGTTTTGGTGACTCCCGAGGGTTACCGGGTCAGGGGTTCAGGAGGGGTCAAGAGGGGAACTGACACCAACCTGTTGCCTTAAAAATGGGGAGAGAAACGCGACTAATTCCCTGTTTCTGCTTCTCTTTGCAGAATGGACTTGGATCCGACCCTCTGTCAGCAAAGGAGGTGAGTTTGCGGATTATCTTAGATCGTAGTGATATGAACGGGGTAAAATAATAAAGTAGTGTGAATCGAAAAACTAATTATGATTTACTGTGTTTTTTACAAGATTTATATCTTAAAGTAGTCCCACACAATTGAACAGATTGGCGAAAAAATTTTAAATTTGAAACTTTTCAACAAGTTTGCTTTTCTAAAACAAACGGATACACTCTTCTGACTTTACTCAAACTTTATGACAACAAGGATAGTAATGATTATTAATGATATTTTTAACTAATTATAAAATAAAATAATAAAAAAGAAGGAGGATACGAATTAGATAATTGGATTACTTTTCTTAATGGTTATGTCTATTGTAGGTAACTTGGAATTCAAATCAGTGAAGATCTTTCTTATTTGTTTAATAAGCCAACAAGATTTATACCATAAAATAAAAGCCTTGCTTAATTTTAATTACCTCTACACGCAGGCAATTTTGCTGCCATCTTTGCTGTCCTTAAGTAATTGTTATTGGTGGTCATTTGTCTTCAATATCAGTTAAAACTAACTCATTAAGGCCCATAAGTTTCATGAGCTGCAATTACCGCCCAAAAAAAAAACCTCTATCAATTAGGCCCGCGCCGAGTGAAATATTTTCATGTTAGCGATACACTTCTGGCCATTCGAAATGACAATTGCGAAGGAATTCCCAGTGGGCCAATTCGTTTGGCTGCCCCATAAAACCCATCCCATGCCATTCGTCCGCCTCAAAGGCAAAAGCCGTCACTCAACGGAGCGGTAGCAGCAGAAAACCACATACCAAGCGTAAGACAATCCATAAAATTGAGTTCCAGTGGGTCCACCGGCGGGGAGGGGAAGTGAGGAGGAGGGGAATGTAGAGGGAAAAATCGGAGCCAACTAATGTCCCGGCCATCATTCTATCAATTGCGGCGCCTATGAGAAATTTCAGCACGTCCCAACACAAATTAGCAGATCGGAGGCTGCAGCGTCCCATAACAATATCATAAAGAAGCGGTTGAAGGGGAAGGTGAAGTAGAGGGGAGAGGAAATCTATATAACAATAAATCAGCGCGGGCAATTAGAGGGAAAAGCAAACGGAGGCTAAGAAATATAAATATAAATACCTTCGGACAGGGGAACCAACATCACTCGCATATCAATTGCAATCTCCAGCGTCGATCACCGTTCCCCCATCTCGATTTCGATTTCAATCTCGATCTCGATCTGGATCTGGATCTGGGTCTGAATCTCAAGCCAGATTTCGATCTCCTGCCGGCCAATGAAGTTGTTGTCACAATGTTGTGGGCCACGAAGCGGGCAAAAAAAGGCCAAAAAGCCAGAGAGACGTCGCAATTGGCCCCGCGGCTGCCATTCGACACAATCGAAGACAAACTATCTAATCTAATGCTGGCAATGAGCATTTGTTTGTATAAATAACTGCATGGCAGTAAGCGGCGACAGCGGTAAACAACTGCTCAAATCGCGTGGCCAAGTTCTGGGTTCTCCAGTTTCCCCTCTAAAATCCCCCTCTTGAAACCCCCTCCTCTCCTCATCCAACATCATCTTTTCGCCCACTCGCCAATGACATTTTTTCATAATTTGCGCTACAAGCCTGACAATTGTCGTTGTTTTGCCCACTGGGCACATATTCTGCATCCATGGATCTTGGCTTCGTTGTTCGACGTCTTGGTTTCTGGTTGTTGGTTGTTGTTGGTGTCGCTGGCGTTGTTCGCGACCGTGTTGTTGGCATCAGGCTGGATGACTACCCTGCAAGTGGATTAGGGTTAACCAAGTTGACTGGTCAAGAAGAAAACTTGAATGGTTTATTCCATGAAAAGGAGGAAAAGTTAAATAGATGAGGAGGTAATTAGTGTAACTTTTTAGTAAATTTTAGTTTGTTGTATGAACTCTTAACTCTTATATGTTAAACGAAACTGAAGGCTTACATAATTAATTAAAAACGAAAAGTGAAAAAATATATAAAAAATTTAAGCAGGAAAAAATAAGTAAATAATTTAGTGGGATTAACGACTTTTTGCTTCCACTAATTACCATTAACTAAATGCTTTCATACTTTTGCTTTTAAATTATTAAGCATTTTTCAAATAGTAAAAATAAATAAAAGTAATTTATTAAAAGTCTTTCCTTTTTTTTAACAAAAATAATGCCATAACCTTAAACTCTTTGCTAAAATGATCATACGATACACTTATTGCTAATTAGGGGTTATAATTTAATCATTCGCTTGGATCTTTAAACCTTTTCTTAACCCTCTGTATGGTAACTCGTGGTCCGGAACACCCTTTAAATATATTTTAAGCCTCGTTTAAATAATATTGCAGAGTGTTGGCTTCCACCCCTCCCCTCCCCCTCGCAAAAATGCATATGCAGTGCCAAATTAAAATTTATCCATTTTATGGCGCTGCGGGCAGCTCATAACTGTTTCTTTGTTATTTTCGCGGCGATTTTTTGTTGGTTTATTATTTTTTTTGGTTTTTATTGCCGTTAGTTTATTGGCTAAAGATTTCGTAAGCGCATGAAATGCGCAACAATTGTGGTTTTTCGGTTTCTTCCCACTTATCTGGCCCGATCTCCCATATGGAGTAAGAAAGATATCGACGGAAGTCATTTGCGGTTGTTCCAGGTAGATGAATTCAATAAGCAAACAGCTCCCAAACACGCACACTCCACTTTCCTCGAGACTTCTTCTCCTTTTTTTTTTTGAAACCCCCCCCATGGACAAAGTTCTTTGGCCGTTCAACACTTTCGCCCATCAACAACATTTTGTCAAACTTGATTAGCCAAAGTAGCGCTTATGACTCTATTGTTCGACTGCATATATAATAAGTCGTATAAATAAGCCGCCCGCCGATAAACAATATTGATGACGATGCTGATAAACTTTAATTTCTTCTCGATCCACAGGCAGAGGGCCCTCCGGTTCAGGTTGAACCAGTTGATTTGAGCTTGCGTTCGCCGCGCGGTAAGTTGCTAATTATACGCTATCTTAGTTGACTCAACCTGAACTCATATGCTGACCGGGCCGAAAGCAATTAATCAATGAAATGGCCGCCACAAGTTGATCACTTGAAAAAAGCAGGTCACCGCCAGAGAGAGAATATCGAACGTCTAGAAAAAATGGGGTACAAAACCAATTTGCATTTCTTGTCTAATGAAGTTAAACTCATTTTGGGCATTAAGTGCTTAAAATTTATTTTCGGAATGTCTACGGTGGGTGGAGTGAAAGGTAAAAATAGAAAACTAACGTTGGGTATTAAACAAATTTGTTGAGATTATTAAGGATTATTATTAACATGTACAATTAAAAAATAAATATTTGGAATTTGTACAACCTTATCTGGAAAACAAGAATAATATCTTTAATATCTTAATAGCTTTAATAGTTCAAAGGAAATTTAATAGATTTATATGGGGTGCTCATAGTATAAGATAAAAAAATAAATAACCAATTTCTTGAATCCTAATTAATATTAATAAATATTCAAATTAGAAAACCGCCCAACAAAATTCGAAATTCCCAAGTCTTAATCTGTGGAATTCAATCAGATCATAAAAGATATTCCCGATCGGCAACAAATGATGAACAAACAATCTATTCGATAAGTAAAAGCGCAGCTCGTTGGGAACAATACGGAGATCTATGCTGAAGATAACTATCAGCATTTATATCAACCTGAGATCACACTCCTCCCATAAAAGCCGAACATTAAATTCCTTAGATCTTGCCCCACACTTCTCCCCCGTGGATTGGATGCCGAGATTATCCGCAGACAAGTTCAAACAAAAGGGGAGACAAAACGTTAGTCATTGCCTAATGCTCATCAGGCGGAGCCATTCATACGTGAAAAACGCCTGATGAGTATCGCCGTGCGATCATCAGCAGATCGGTTGTGGGCCCATTAACTTCATGCTGATTCCGCAGCGAGTATCGCTCTATATCCGACGCCCAGGAACCTGACCCAAAACAAGTGGCTCTGGATTGGGCATGGGGATGGGGTTTTGGATGAGAATGGGCATGGGGTTAGGGATGGGGATTCCGGCATGTTGGTTTACCCACTTGACCGATCGAGCGATCGACCCACCAGCGAACCACCAACTGTTTGACCATTTGACCTTTGCCAGCCTTTCTCTTTGCCCCAAACATGAGTGTGTGTGTGTTTGTGTGTGTGTGAAGTTAACAGCAACGCCCCGAAAAAACTGAAAAAGCCACAAAAAAGTTGACTAGATAAATAGATGGTTAGTTATACGGCCATCTACTCGAAGTTTCAGCTCCCCAGCCGTAGGGTGCCCAGCGGTACACCTAATTTAATTAAGAAGCCAGAGAGCTTACCTTAAATGGCTATACAGTAAGATTAACAGCTAAAAACCTGAGCGCTGCTCCGTTCATTAAAGCCAAACTTAGAGCTGAAGCCAAAAGCCAGAGTTAAAGAAAAAAAAGCTGTTGTCTCGCCGCGCATATTAATCAATTAGGCATGATATTAGTGAGGGCATCATTAATTTTGTCAATGCGCTCACCTGGCCACAAAAGCTATTTGAGAAGCGCATAGAGAGGCGGCGACGGCAATCTCTCATGCTAATGGTTTATGGCGTGCTACCAAAGTATCCATAGATCCACCGATCCAACCGATCCACCGATCCAACCAATTCACCGATCCACAGATCCGTGGCGAATGTGTTAAATAGCGTTAAAATTTGTAAAACAAACGGCACATAATGGTCCGGGTTAATTTCCAACCTTAACGGTCATCGCAACGAAAACTAAACCTAAAGCCACCATGCCACCCGAGCTGAGATTTTTTCTTTTTCGACATACATAAATTATGGGTTTTAAATAATTATGCAATTAGCCAGCTAGGCGATAGATAGCCTCAAATTGCCAATGAATGGAGGGCAAAAGCGAAATGGCCCGAAGAACGGCGAAGAGACAGTGCCAAATTCCCACCAACTCTAATTGCAGTTTTCCCCCTCTTGGAAGGAAGGAAAGGCAAAGGAGGTGAGAGCTGGATGGCTGGTTGGCTGGGAATCCACGGCAACTGCAACTACAACTTGATTTATTTAAGCTACCCAAACAGCCCATAAATAAAGCTGTTGAACTAGCCACCAAGCGCGGAGGTGGAGCAAAGGGAGCCGGCAGAAGGGTGGAGCACCCGAAAGATCGTCCAGGAGAGTCTCCTCTCAGCCTGGGACATCCACAGTGCCTTACCCAAAAAAAAATCCAAGAAAAAAAGAAAATAAAAACCCAGCACAAGATCGTACAATCCCACACCAACACGGAGCCACTGCCGCACCACCGAAAACCACCGAACGATCGGCCTCTCGCCACTCAGGGGCATAGGCTTTCCAGGTTAAGTAGATGCGGCGACACGCGGGTCGATCCGGCGAGCGAACGACCTTAAGACGGAGATCCCAACCCGAATCGGTGGAAGCGAGAGGAGGGAGATTACCAAGGGGGAGGAGTCAGGGGGAGGAGGGAAATCGACCAGGCGACGATGTTGGAGCATCTGCGGCATCTATCGAATGATATGCAACATTTAGTGAAGTGCTCGAGTACCAAGCATCGACTTGGGCATATTGATGGCAAGGTGAAAATGTGACAGGCAGGTGGGCGCAGGTTGAGGAATTGGTAAATGAGCATCATGATCCGTCGAAGGGTGTTTTATTTAGTCACTGCTAGGTGAGCATAACAAGTCTTTGGCGACCGCTTCTGGTTAGTAAATCAAGCGGAGACTTCCGAATAACATTTGCATATTTCAGTGGCTTAATTTGTATACCCTTCGTGACTTGGCCAGATTGTATTACGATTTTGTTTTAATATTAATGGTTTTTAAAGCATCAGTTTATCTTGCAACAGGTGGCAGTGGCTTCCTCTTATGACCGCTAACTACTAACCGAATATTTAAACTACGAAAGTAGATTAAATGGTTACCTTTTCTTTAAGAATATTCCGATAATGAAAATAAATAAGCAATACTTAAGAACAAAGAACAGTAAAAGTAATTTATTTAAAAATAGTATTTTAAAACGAAAAGAAACCATATCTTAGTAGGGTATTTATAAGATCAATTCATGTTTCTGATTGCTTTATAGAGAAATCTTAAGTCTAATCTCGCAAACTGATGTTGTGTTACTGTTGCTGCACTTCATCGATTCGGGGATTGCGATTTGGGGATCTGGCTTTGCTGCTGATTTGGCAAATGCATCTGCTGCTCCCTCAGCGATAGTCAACTGAAGCCAGATCTCATAATCGCTGGCGGCTCCCAGCGACCTGGAGATTCAAGCTGCTCCACCAGCTGGCCTCGCCCAGATCCAAGAGATCCCCCGATCCCCAATCCCCAATCCGCAAACCCAGATCTCCGTTGGCCAGGCCCGCACAATGCGATTCCGAACAGAAAGAAAGAGGGGAGATACTCCCAAGTGAACGGAGGGGCGTGTGGAGCGTGGTGATTGTTTTTTAATTATGCTCCAGCTGACACCCGGTCGGATGACCATTGAGGATGGCTAGAGGATGGGTCGTCGGTGGGATCGCGAACCGCGAAGGAACGAAACTGGGTGGAGACGCGGTGCCGTGTCTTTGGGCCTGGTTAACATGGCGCGTATGTAGCGCATCGAGTTGACTTGACTTGACTTGACTGAGTGACTGTGACTGGCTTTTGAGGTTATGTGAAAGGTCAAGTTCGTGATCGCATTCAAACATTTTTGCCAACCACTCATCTCGCTGCGCAGATCGGGCCCAAAAGAGACCCGAGACTATAGACCGGGCCCAGACTGAGGGACTGACTGAGGTACCGAGAGATACTGAGAGGTACTGGGAGTAGAGTGCAAGGAACACGAGTGTGAGTCGTCGCCGCCGCCGAAAAAAAAACAGAAAAAAAAAAAAAAAAAGATAGAAGAAGAAGAAATACCCGACCCAAGCGACGTCGCATCGTAGAAAAATTGAAGATGAGCGTGCCACCACCACGCCACGATTCTGCCATTCCCGTCTCTGTCTCTGCAGACCCCATCCTCCATCCTCCACCCCCATTCCCCATCCCCCAATCGTATTTGCCATCCCCGAACCCCGAACCCCGAGTCCGAGTCGGAACCCCATCCCTATCCCCCATCGCAATCCCCATCTGGCGGAGATCCCGCCGCCACTTCCCGCCGCCCTCGCCGGATCCGAATTGAGTGAATGTAAACTGTGGTTTACTTGTTTCCAGCGTTGTCATAGTAATTTTTCTGCACTATAACAACGGCCGAGCGTCGCCTCCAACAACATCGAAATATACACAGAGAGAAATTATTGTATAAAACGATTAATTTTAATTGGATGTATGAAATATGAATAAAAGATTTTATCTTATTTCAGATAAAGAATTTGATCAATTAAATGTAATTTTGTACCTTTCAATTTTTTTTTAGAAATATGCAAAAATACTTTTAATATTTAATCTTTAATTTGAAGTGTTTAACATAGTTTTGTTTCATTTTTTCACAAAAAATGTTTTTGTTTCATGCTTAATTCTGTAAAGAAATTTTTTTATAAATATCTTTTCCCATCAATTTTTGTCAGAATAACTTTTTCTTATACCTATTATAAGAGATATACAATTTAAGTTTCTAAAGATGTCATATGTTTATGATTTCTCAAAAATTCACTTATTTTTCTCTCTGTGTATAAACTTTGGGGTGCTCTCGGATGTTCGGTGGCAGCACTCACCCGAAAACATTGAAACAAGCGGAGAAAAATGGAGATGCTGATGACACTGGAGACACGTTGTCTCTGGCAATCGTGCAACTGACACACCACCACCACCACCGACGACGATAGCAGCACCACCAGCACTGCACCACCGCACCACCGCCGTAGTACCACCGGCAACAAAATGCTAGACAGCATATGCCACACGAAGTTTTGAAAAGATTACACTGGACAACAGGCAATGCGGATGGGGTGCGGCCATCTGGAATTTCTGGGAGGAATGT